AAAAAGGAGGCTACTGGATATCTCTATATATACTATAGTAACTAGTAACTTTAAATTGGTCTCATAGAAATTTGGTGAAGAGCTGATAAGAATCTTCGGCGTGATGAGCAGAATAGCTTCTCAAAATTCAGTTTATGCTCGCGCTCGTGGTCTATTGTTCGCAGAATTAGTAGTTTCTTCTCTGATTATTCTTAAGCTTGTTAAATTTCTAATGAAAAATATCACCAGCATTTGATTTTTATCTTACAAGAAACTATTAAAAATGAAAATAATATCATATTTTTTAATATGGCATATAGTTGCCGAGATATTTAATTGTTTAGTTAGGCGTGTGACGCGAAGTCATCGGCCACTGTGACGTCATTTTACAACGATTGGTCAGTGCGTGCTCTACTCACGACCTGCGTGTATGAAGTTTACGTCAAAAATTGATAAAAATGTCGAATCCAGAAACTAGAAAATAAAATACATAAAAATGCACTTATCTACGATCATACAAAAGAGGAAATTAATTTCAGAGGTTTTTTATCTTAGCTTAATATTATTTCAATATCCTAAAAATAAACTAATTTTGAAAACTATATTTTATAAATTCGAATTTTAAAAAGTGTTGTACCTCTAGTACATAATGTTCAGATTAGGTTTACTAATTAAGTTTTAATTTCTTGTTACATTACATATTAATAAAATACAAAATGTAAGTCATGATCAACATTATGTAGGTACAATGTATTGTTTTTAATAAAATAAATCCCACCTTTTTACAAATACCTGCGCAGAGGCGTTATACGCTGCTATTTACGCATGCTGCGTATAACGCAGAGGCGTTATACGCAGCAAGAGCGCGAAAACTGTAGCGGAAGGAGTCGAGGCAATAGCAGAATTTTCCGCAACCGCCCGCCCTCGCGCGGCATAGAAGGTTTTTAATTATGAAGCGGATGATGAACCAATAATAGATGTTAAAACATATTTTGAAGTAAATGTTAACTACATATCAAAATAATGAATAAATCAAAATAATGTATTTTTTTTCATTTCTTCTAAAATTAAAACCCTGGAAGGATTTGAACTTAGATAAGTATGAAAAAGCGCAATGTTCTAATTTTGAAAATTAACTGTGCCATGCTGATTCTTCAGATGTGGAGAAGTTCGAGCTCTTTAATGAAATCGAATTTTTACCGATGTTAATTGATGATTCCACTATATCGTTGGGTATTTTTAATTATTTGTTTATGATAAATTAATTTCAGGACTACCAAATCTGTCCACAGCACTTAGAATTTACCTCACATTGCTAGTCACTGTAGCACACAGCGAAAGATCATTTTCTAAATTAAAAACAATTAAAAACTATCTCAGATCAACATTATCGCAAGCTATATTGACAAAATCGTTAATGAGTATTAAACATAAAATCAAAATTGAAGTATGACATCGTTAAACTTTTTGCTAATGCAAATATAATTGGGTTGTATTAGCGTCCTCAAATATAATTAGTTTTTAAATGAAATATTTTCGAAATAACTACAAAGTTGTGATTTTTTATTCTATTAACCTCTTTCAAAACCCCTTAAAAATACTTTTTACTCGTGTACCTACGCTTCCTGACATCATTTAAAATTGCCGTATAAATTTCCGTTAACTGGTGAAAATATAACTGTGAGTATTCCATTTTGAACGCGCGCCTACTAGATATAGAAAGGGTATTGATTGCACACGGGCGCTACATAGGCTACAGCCGCCTCTGTACCTACGCATTCTTCCTTCTTAGGAAGTTAATGTCAAGTTCATAGTATTATGATGTATGACGCACATTTATAAAACCTTAGTAATGAGAAATATGTACTTATAAGGATCAAAAGATTTATAATAAAAATTAAACTTACTTTTGTATTTTTACTCCTTACATCTCGGCGGCCAAGAAATCCTAGCTATTTGAAAAATAGTGGGCAACCATATTAAGCCGTCTATTTCAGGCAAGTTATAAGATTATCTTTTTTCAAGACCGTCATCCATATCGTCACTAACGACACATTTGGCTCAGTTTGTAGTGACCCTACTTGCAGTGCCAGTGGTCGCGGGTTCGAGTCCTGCTGAATGCATTCATTTATGTTTATATTTATAATATGTATGTATTTAAAGCTACGAGTATATATGTGTAGTGTATCAGTTAATATATATACTGGATATATATCCAGTATCCTTAACACAAGCCCCGAAGCTTACTATGGAACTAGATGGACCTGTGTGTTAATGTCCCAACATATTTATTTAAGCAAATCTATCCCACAGGAACCATACATTTTTCCTGGGTAAAAAAGTAGCCTATTTGCTATTCCAGACTATAATCTATCTCTGTGCCAAATTTCACTCAGATCCGTTCAGTCGGTGTGCTTTGCTTTGTATCGACTTCGAAATTAATTGATTAGGTATGTATAGTAAATGAAAACTACCAATCAGTTATTTTTTTCTTTTTAGTGATTTTGTTTGAAGTCGGTTTTTATTTTTTTGGTTAAAAAGTTTTTATTTTTACCTTTTTAGTGTAGACAGTAGTAGCAAAGTAAGAATTCTAACGTGTTAGGCTTGTCAAATCAAACAAAATAAGCCCAAACTCAAAGTATCTACTATTAGCCGTTGAAGAGTTCCACCTATCCACCTTCTGGCCTTACCATCAGATCAGGTCAACAATACCAAACCACTGTACTATCAACGGAAATAGAAAAACTTGCAAATTCAAAAAAAAAACTTGAAAATTGCAAATAAAAAAAGTCGATATGACAATTAGAAGTAGGTTAATATCATCATTAGCTATTTTTCCACCCTTAGGGGTGGTATTTTTTTTTTGAAATTTAAATGGGACCAATCTGGAAGTATTTAAACAAAACAAACATTTCTACGAACGAAAAAAAAACGGAGTTCTGAGGTAACAAACATAAAAAAAACATACAGCCGAATTGAGAACCTCCTCCTTTTTAAAGGAAGTCGGTTGAAAAGATGTATATTTAAACATTTAGACCATACGGTCTCAAAGTTTCAAGAAATTTAACAGACCCAGTGTCATTCTTCATTATAAATATAATAAAATTTAATTTATACTTGAAAGAGTAGGAAAAATTATGTTAATTGAACAAACAGATCCAAATTGTTTTAAATTCAATATGTTACTGGACATCATGTTTTCTTTAAAAAGCTGATTTAGATGCTCAATTCATGTAAAAATGAATGCGGAGATCGTGCTGAGAAAAACATAAAAACGTAAACACCTTAACAAAACGTGTCGGATTTAGATTTGTTTTTCTGGTATTTTTTTTTGTATTTTTAATTTTTTCAGGTTTGCAGAGCAGAATATCAGATATATGAGTAGAAAAGTGGAACTAATCAATGTACATTCCACACTTCAGCACGTGGTTGACATGTAGCGGGCGCGTGCTCCCTCAATGAGAATAAACTAATCTAGTACGGGTGACCACTTCGTTATCGGAATGTTTAGTTTAGTTGTAGTTTTTTTTTTACTTTCCGACGTAATCAGATATTATTCAATTTATACTAAAATTACTAAGCATACATGGTTGGACAAAAAGATGTAGGAAAGTTTGAAAAAGTCATGAAAGCAGATAACACGTATATGTTACTGTAGAAGCTCGTATATTGGTAAATCTTAGGTTTACATAGTAAATCTTAGGATTTGCCGACATAAGTTGGTAAACGTAAGGATTTTACCATACCAACGATTTTTCGGGCTTTTAGCATCAGAATGTGGTACATGTTAGGTTTTAGCAGAATTTACCAACTCCTGTTGGTAAATCCTAAGATATACTAGTGAAACCTAAGATTGATCAATATACAGGTTTTTACAGTAACATATATATCTATATATATTATATACAATAATACACTTACACTGTTTTAGTTAAATAGGTAAGGAATAATATAGCATATAATTAAACAAACACTAAACATTTCATCTGTTACATAATATATTAATGAATTATGTCTGGCTAAGCACAATCTCGCAAAACAAATATTTATAGAGTATTTGATAAACAATAACAATTATAACATTTTGGTCTAACTAAATCCAAAAGCATTCGAAATGCTTATATATTTAATAGCATTGAAGATATATTTTATCCAGCGACCGGCAACGTTCTTATGACGTCAAGAAACTTGATTTATATACGATAAATATTCTGAGCCTCTTCAACTGCGAATAAAACTGTCGATAATAAACTTATCAAAATGTATAATTTCAAGTCGTACGTATTTTTAGTCTCTAGGGTCGTTTATCACATAATGACCATGGAGAAATATACTAGCTATGGCATTATTTCCTGCAACTGTTATCACCTTATCAGTGACGCAAAAAAGCATTGGGTAACGTTCTCTGTAAAGGAAAATACGACTCGAATGGTTGAGCGTAGTTAATGTGTTTTTGTTTAATCTACGATTGTAAAATTCTTGGTAATCTTACTGGCTTAATAGGTCTACGGTTAGACAATATGCGTACGTCAGTACACAAAGTTGCCAAAGTATAGAAAGTATCTATACTTTTGTTTTAATAGATATAATGCTTATTATTAAGATAGTTTTGTTTGTTAAAAATTGATAACAAGATTAGATTGTGTAGATATTTAAAATTGTAAACATTTGATTAGTTTTTGTAGTTACTTGTTAAAGTGCATTTATAGCATTTATAATATAATAATATAATTAACATTTATTACACTTACCGTCTCATAAGTGAAAGTTTTAATGTCGCTTTTTTGACGTCAAGTAAAACATTGAAAAATGCCGTTCTCTTATAAATTCTATATAGGAAAGTGTACATTTACACGGTGTTGCTTGTTTATTCATTTGTTTCTAGTTAATAAATAACTGTGATAAAAAATAAGCTATTAAACATAAGTACCATTTTTTTAACAAATATCTGTCTGTATTTAAATTTTTGTGAAGTACCCACTGTAAATAAAATGAGTCATGACAGATGTTAATGCACTTACGAAGTATTCTGCAGAGCTTTGATCAGCTAAGGATGGTGTAAGCAGGCAGCCAGGCGAAGGGGGAGCGGTGGCGGCAGACGGAGGCGGTGCCAACGAAAGCAGTTCACCGGCTGAAGCCGACATATTACTTGCCGCGGCTAAGCTTCGCAGACGGTCGGCTAGATCCGTGTGCCCTCCATTAAATGTTTTGACAGCACCATTACATACATCATCGGTATTTAAATTATTTATGATTCGTGGCCGACGAAGTTTTCTAGATGCCGCGCGCCATCTCCGCAACCGGCACGCTGCATTATTGAGGACTTCTTCAGTCTCCGGATTCTGGAGTGGTTCCTCGTCGGACTGCACCAGGTCTTCTGCATCGGTAACTTCATCAATGAAAGGCAGTTTTTGTTCCATATTGGACGGAGAGGGCCCGTCTTCGGATACGACCATATTAGGAGGTCCCAAAAAGTCCCTTAAAGCAAAGGCTAGTCTTTGATCAGGGTTTAGTCCCGCTGGCGCCCCATTGTTAGTTAAATCTGTTGCAACATATTTAACTTCTTCTTTTTTATTTTCTTTCGGTTGAGTTTTAAACGCAACATCCTCGTTGAGGTCTACATTTATTTCTTGACTATAAGAAGGCATCACGAATATTGTTAATATTAGATACTTAATTTATAAATATCATGATTGCCTCGCTACAAAAACAAATCTATGCACTTCGGTATACATTTGTTTATTTTTTATATGATTATACTAAAAGGTTTTCACATTTTATCACAACACTACGATAAATTCAGACTATCTGAGCGCAAATTATAGGGTTACTGTAAAGATTTAAATGCGTTGAATTCCATCGATAACACTATCATATTGCATACACAAATTATCCCACTGTACTCAATACTACCGAAAATAAACGCGACTGAACCTAATATACGCGAATCGATCATCACCCGCAGAATCGGTACGGGTTTTATGCGTCAAAACGTAACACAATCTCCTCGAATAACTCGAGCAGTGTGCGCAAACTGAGCACTACTGGCTGGCGCTGTCATAAAACTATACATAATATTGTAGCCGTCTCGATTGTAGAGTTCTTTCTTGTTTATATTGACGTACATCTAACATGCGCGAATGCGGACGGCATTCAGCGCCCTCCAGCGGTCAATTCTAATCCTACAACTAGCTCCATCTATATCAACTTACTTAAACTATATTTAACTTACATCATGGATGACAAATAAAAACTTACATAATATGCCGTGTCGCTGTGTATAATAGTTCTTACAATTAAATTATATTTGCGTAGAGGGATCTTAAATGCTTAAGAATTATTTGTCTTTAACCCACAAAATATGGAAGCAGTTCCCAAGACAATCCGTATATTAATATAATTTTTATTTTTTTCCATATGATCACGCGTAACTATTTATAGAGTAGTCCGATTTTGTTTATTTTAGGTGGTCCCATTTCAATTTGTAAAAATCCGTCCACAATCGAACAAGCCAACTCAAAATTAGTTACTTACATTAGCTTATCAGTGAATAAATTTAAACATATTTTGTCAAAAGTAAACTTATAACCAGCGCTGGATTTACACTAGGGGCACTCGAGGCTAGTGCCCAGAGCTGCAAAATTCGGACCTGCAAGAAAGCAGAAAATGCTTTTTATATTTCACAAAAAATGAAAAATAAAAAAATATTAACTAGTAGGTACATTTTTCGAAAAATTGATATCATTCATAAATTATTGTTTATGAAAACTTTATCGAAACTTTACCCATTTTATGCAAAATTTCGAAAATTGGGCTGCATTTTCAACCGACTTCAAAAAGGAGGAGGTTCTCAATTCGACTGTATATTTTTTTTTTTTATGTTTGTTACCTCAGAACTCCGTCATTTATTAACCGATTTGGACAATTTTTGTGTCGTTTGAAAGGGTATACTTCCAGATTGGTCCCATTTAAATTTCAAAAAAAAAAATACCACCCCTAAGGGTGGAAAAATTACTAATGATGAATTTAACCTACTTCTAATTGTCATATTGACTTGAAACTTTGCAAGTATTTCTATTTCCGTTGATAGTACAGTGGTTCGGTGTTGTTGACCTGATCTGATGGCAAGGCCAGAAGGTGGATAGGTGGAACTCTTCAACGGCTAATAGTAGATACTTTGAGTTTGGGCTTATTTTGTTTGATTTGACAAGCCTAACACGTTAGAATCCTTACTTTTCTACTACTGTCTATACTAAAAAGGGAAAAATAAAAACTTTTTAACAAAAAAATAAAAACCGACTTAAAACAAAAGCACTAAAAAGTAAAAAATAACTGATTGGTAGTTTTCATTTACCATACATACCTAATCAAATATTCTCGAAGTCGGTGTGCTTTGGCTAAGTAATTAAAGCCTACCTATTAAATACATACCTAATCAAATATTTTCGAAATCGGTGCCAGCCCTTATAAAGCAAAGCACACCGACTTCGAAAATATTTGATTAGGTATGTATGGTAAATGAAAACTACCAATCAGTTATTTTTTACTTTTTAGTGCTTTTGTTTGAAGTCGGTTTTTATTTTTTTGTTAAAAAGTTTTTATTTACTAGCTTATATATACAAAGCGTATACAATATTAATGAGTATTTAGTTGATAAAAAGGCATGGGACTGATATTATTAATAATTTAATGTATTTATTAATTAGTATATTATGACATGTACAAAAGTACCAAGTTAAAAGTTATTGATCTTAAGTAATCGTCCTGATTCTACATCAATAAATGATTTTTTATTGTTATTTAATTTTTTTTTTGGAAGCCAGGTTTATGAAATTAAAAAGGGGTTTCAATGAATAAATTTTATAAAAAAGGTATCCTATTGGTGACTATATTATTTTTAATTGATCACAATTTTTTCATAGAACACTATAGACAAAAGTTCATAGAAATTATATTTATGTAGCAGATATTATAGTGCAATAGTAGAAGCGCAGACAACATTCCTTTCACTCTAAAGTTCCAATGGGACGATAATTCTACCAGTGAGAGATCAGACTCAGGACCGACGGCTTTACGAGCTATATGAGGCACGGGGGAAAAAAATGTCCACCCTCTCAACTCCGGGCTGTTATTATAATTTTGTTATTATATTATTGGGACTTTTTAACTAAAAGACTCAATAACTAAACTTGGCTCTACCCGTGACTCGAGCCCAGCTTAGTTATTATTATTAAAGTTTATCGCCACCAAACAAATCTTTCCTCTTTTTACCTGACTGCGCCGAAGCTTAAAAGAGTGTTATGTGTATGACCTTATATGTACATATGTATGTATCTATATAACGATATGTGTGTGTATGTATGTTCGATCCTATGCTCCCTCGTAACTACTATACGGCTTAATCAATTAAAATCAAAATGCCAGATTTCAGGCGCTAATTTGTGTCCTTAAAAAAATTGTCTGCTTCCGAAAGCAGGATATCAAAATATATACAACTCCATATGTCTTACTCGCTAGAACTAAAAAAAACCTGACTGGGTAAAAAGAGAATAAAAAATACGTACTTGTAGGTGGACATGTGGAACTCACCCGCTAATAAAGCCAGTACTACTCACTAAAACCTTACGGAACCTCAACTGTCGTTATGGGAAGTCACAGGATCACTTACGCACTAAACTACGACACCACGACGGCAACCCTGCCGAAGCAGACCACAAAAACCAAGGGGTTGCTCCCACGGTCCACATTACTATCAGAGAAGTACCAGGTGCGAGCCACATGGTACACAGCTCACTGAGGTGGGCTGCTTTCCAGTGTCTCTTGGCTTTATGCCCGGCTGGATTTCCGGACGCTAATGAGCCTTCCGCCACAACAAGGCGAACCAATCTTAATAGGCCGCTGTGGCTGTAATTGGTCAAGGGGACATTAAGTCATTTTAAAAAGTTATATTATCTATACTATAATAAAACAGTAGAGGTCGAATGTCTGTACATAGCAAAAAAATGCTAAAAACCGAGTCACGGGGATGTAAGAAGACAAATAGAACGAATCCAGATTTTTTTCAATTTTTTTGTTTCTCTGTCTGTTTGTCTGTTTGTACGGGCTAATCTCCGAATCTATTGGACCGATTTAAATGAAATATTGCATGGTGGTACCTTATATCCCCAGGCAACATCTTAGATACTTTTTATCCCATAAAATTAAATAGTTCCCGTGGGATAGTTAAAAAACTATAATAACTTATACAGCTTAGTACACAAAAACTACTGATTGGATTTTAATAAAACCTTACAATAATATAGTTCATACATGACAATAACAAATCGGCTACCTTTCATCTCGGAAAATTAAGGGGTTCCCGTGGGACAGTCAAAAAACTAAAGTACCTTATACAGCTTAGTAGGTACACAAAAACTACTGATTGGATTTTAATGAAACTTTACAATATTATAGGTCATACATCAGAATAACAAATAGGTAACTTTTTATCCCAGAAAAATTTACGGTTCCCGTGGGATAGATGTTTTAGTTTATTTGTAGCGTATTATGTACACAACATAGACCCCAAAACAATAGTTATAAAAAAATGTCTGTTTGTCTGTTTGCGTGTATGTCTGTTTGTCTGTTTGCCTGTATGTCTGTTTGTCTGTTTTTGTATGCGCGTTTCAAGCGAAAAGTAACGAACCGATTTCAACGAAATTTGGTGAAGTGATAGCTTATATTCAAATTATTTCGAAATTTATTATTTCGAAACTAATATTCAAAATATTTATAATGATATTCAGCCCTTACTTATATACTTGTTACAGACAGTGCCTACCCACAATTTTACAAAAAATGAGTTCAAAAATTCAAAAATGGCACCAAAGTACCTTACAATATTTGTTGATTTTAATTCTAGACATTTTAATATTTTTTTAATAAGTATTATAATTAAATACAGCAATAATATTAATTTAATAGCTATTATTATTATAAATATTACCATTTTACTTTTAAACATTGTTATTTAATAATATTATTTAGTGTTGCTATTACTATTCCTATTAATAATGTATGACCACAAGGAAAATTAAAAATTAAAAATATTAATTTAGATTGTTATTATTTAAAGTTCAATTATTAAATAAAACTAATACTCGTAGTATTTTAGTATTGCTTTTTAAATTATTTTTTTTGTTAATAAAAATAATGTTAGTTACCACTTGATGCCGTGCATCTTGTTCATGAACTGTTCTATATTCACGCTAAAATAAAAATTAATTATTATTATACCTATGTTGCTTTTTGTAACAAATTGTTCAATATATAATTTTTAGTTTGTACTATTTTTCATTGTAATCGTCACGGTTTCTCGATTAAGGTGTGATTTGTGAAATCGACAGCATTTACATTACACACATTTGGGCCAAAATAAACATAGTACCTTATTCTATAGTAGGTACATAATTATTACCTCTTTATTTAAAATGTATACTATAAAATACTTTTTGTTTTCTCTTTTATTTAACTGATATAACAAAATAGAATCTGTGTATAGAGTTTATAAGCTTTATATGTATTAATGAAAGTAGGAGTTCAATCCTAATAACAACTTGTTGCACAATAAATTAACTATTGTAACTGTCCAAGGGATTGCAATGGATTAATGATTCACATTTTGTTGATTGCGTCAATTTATCGGTTTATAAACACGTTCAAAGTACCATGAAGGCTGCAATTTAACAATTGTTGGGGAATACCACCAATTGTTACAGTAAGGACATATTTAATACCGGCTCATCTCCATCTAAATTTAAAAATATATCATAAAATATGTTCAGTACGAATCAAACCGTTTTATGATTAGCTAGGCAGTGCTAGAGTTACTCGTTCCAATGTGTTTGTGGCTTATAACTGCTTGCTTGGGCTTATTGCCTTCAGGCTCTGTACCTCCCGGTACAATTGTTGTTGTGGGTGTACCTACTCCAATACTTCAACCTACTACAGCGGCTACGACAGCAGCTACAACAACAACTACTACTATGCGTCCTACAAGTGCAATGACAATGGCGCCTCCATCTCCTACGATGCCAGCACCCACGACTACGACAACACCACCGGCTCCGCCTCCAACTACGACAACGACAGCTGCGCCCACAACTATGAGAACAACAGCTGCGCCCACAACCACAACAACAACCATTGCACCGACAACTACAACAACAACAGCTGCACCCACTACAACCACGGCAAGACCTACAATGAGTGGTAACAACCCTCCACCTTTACCACCCCCGACCATTGTTTCACTAACAACCGTAACAGCAACCATGTCTAGTACTAGTTCAGCAACTAACATTACTCCCATACCAAGAACAGTCGAAACTAACCCCTCAACTACACCAGGTGGACTGCTTTTACCTGTTTTACTATGTAACAACCCTGATGTGATTTGTATATCTAATCCTGATGATAATACTTCAGGCCAGCTCCAGATTGACCCAAGACTCGGTACAACTCCGGCGCCTTTCGCTGCGCTACAAGATCCTTCCATAAACGGCTACAGTGGCCAAGTTCCATCCTATGACAACGCTGTTAAATTTCCCAGAGAGCGCCGAAGTCTAAATATAAAGAAATTAAACAGAAATATTTTCCCATTATTTGAGAAATATTCAAGTAACAATAATCACAGGATCCGTAAAAGGCAAAGCTGTCAATGTGTACCTGCAGGTACATGCACAAAAACTACAAATGGTGCTGGTTTGATTGATTTTAGAATCGTGAATCCAGTGAGTTGATTTTCAATAATACTTTTAAAATTCTATATGTACTTAACATTAAAAACAATTATAAAATATCCTTATACATTTTAGACGTCGCCTTGTCCGACCGGTCAAGAATATTGTTGTGGCAGTACTACAACAAGTACATCTACAATTTCTTGCGGTACCTTACAGACGGTACCAACTACAGCAGTCACGCCCGCTGCAGGTCAAGCTAACTTCGGAGAATATCCGTGGCAGGTTAAACGAAATTAAATATTAATATCCTCCTGACTACTTTTGGTCTTTGCAGTGTATCTCATTGGGACATCATCATCATCATATATCATATTTCACTTCCCATATCCAATGTCACGATAGTGGGATACAATCCGTGAGCGATAAGGTGCAACATCGACAACTAAATACAAGTTCTCGAGGCAGGGTGTTGTTTCAACCACTTTATGTGTTTTATAAACTCTTTTTGTTCTTTATTAATTGACTATTTGTTTAAAATAATATTTTCCTTTCAGGCTATTATTCTTACAAAGCAAAATGATTATATCGCAGGAGGAGTACTTATAGATCAAGTTAATATTTTAACCGTCACACATCGATTATCGTCTTACATGTAAGAAAAAAATAATGTTACTAAGTATAATCGATATTATAAAATAAAGTAAAATAAAATTGTTATATTTGTATAAGCTTTAGGTTCTAGGCCTGTATATTAAAGCTCGTCACTTGCAATATTTGTTGCTATTAATTATATGTGAATGATTCACAGTGAATCACTTAGAATAGTTACACTTACCCACACCCAACCCACGTTACTTGCACAGTAATTTAGTCAAGCAGTTTTAATGCAGTCGGGAGTTTTGTATTTGTTTATTTTTATACATATACAATTATTATGTGTTTTTAAACATATTTTTAACTAAAACAAATTGCAATACCATTATAAGAAAACATTGTAAGAAAAATTAAAAAATATTTTTGATTTACAGCGTTTCAGGGACAGCCCCGAATGTTAAAGTACGATTAGGAGAATGGGACGCCGCAGGCACCTACGAGCCGGTGCCTTTCCAAGAATATACTATTGCAAAAGTCTTCTCTCATCCTTCCTATAATCCCAATAGCTTGCAATATGATATAATGGTATTGAGACTATCGTCTTCAGTACCTATAACGCCTATGAGTGGTTCTGCCACAACTATTAACCGGGCATGTCTTCCGCCATCGTCAACGTCTTCTTATACAGGTCAAAGGTACTATGAATATTATTTTTCCTCTTAATTTATACCTAAAATATAGTAGAATTATATACTTCTTTTATAAATTATAAGGGAATCCACAAGAAAACCTAGCGTGTATTGCAGATATCACATCTAATCTTACCGACTGGCAACTACTTGCAACACTTGTGCCACAAATATTATTATATACTAAAAAGAAAGTTCAAATGTCAGAATCATTTTTAACCGTTAATCAAGTTTTCTTTTCCTAAACCTAAATGTTTTGTTGTATAAAGGCACTAGCGACTCACCTTCGCTCCGCTGGCGTTCGTCCATACTTACGTTTTAACGTTTAGTATATGTAGATTTCTCAGAGATAAGATATTTTCCCGCAGTATTCTATATGTTGACCCGGATCATCAGCTATCATCATACCAAGTTTCATCAAAATCCCTTCAGTGGTTTTTCCGTGACAGACAGACAAAAATTCTAAAAACTATAGATTCGGCCTATGTATCGATAATAATGTCTATTTCAGTAAGATTTTCCAAAAAATATCTAATGTACATATTCGGCCTAGTTAGAATTTTATTATATGTATGGATTTGTATGTATTGTACTTACTATAGCGATAGTTTAAAGGCGAAATATAAAAAGTAGTAGTTAACTTTAATATAATTTATCACGTTACCTGATTGATTATACTCAGCAGAAAAAAGCAATAATAATGTTAAGTCTTATAGATATCTCTTTCATAATCGCTTGTACAATTAGAATAAGTTTATTCTTTGTTTCAACAGGTGTTGGGTAGCAGGGTGGGGTAAGGACATGTTCGGTCTTCAGGGGCAATATCAACAGATCTTGAAGAAAGTAGATGTACCAATTGTAGCATCGGCTACATGTCAAACCCAAATGCAAGCTGCCCGCCTTGGTTCCACTTTTGCTCTTGATACTACGTCTTTTATTTGTGCTGGAGGCGAGGCTAATAAGGATTCTTGTACGGTATGTTATTGATTTATTTATAACAGTTTTATTTTATAATTATATAAATTATATATTCTAATCGTAATCTCATCAATCAAATCAAAAACAACCGTATTGTATTTGTAGTGTCTAAATATATAATTCATACAAATATCATAAATTAAGAAAGTTTTCGATTTATCTAAGATGATGAATCTTCTTTCATCAATTATTTAGACCGTTAAAAAAAGCAGCATTTTCATCTAAATCAGATACATACACATGAGGATAAGAAAAAAATACAGAAAGAAAACGAACTCGGAACACGTTTGTCTTAGAGCCGCGTAATTGTCAACTCGGCGCATGAGTACCGAAAACTATTCCACCTCAATTTTAATATGCGATCCTCTTCAAATTGCCCTACTGATGATATAAATACATGTTGCCATTTTTTTTTTTTTTTTTTTTTTTTTTTTTTTTTTTTTTTTTTTTTTTTTTTTTTTTTTTTTTTCGTCAGGAAACCCTGTTGCCGGGTACCCGCCGCCTGGGGAAGAACGACGGGTTATGTGGGGCTCCCACCGCGCAAAGATGATAAACGCGCGGCAGCCTACCCACTAAAACCTGACGGTGTCCACCTCTGTCGCCTCCAGGTCGGGGCCACGGGAACCAAAATCATCCGCGAACCCCGACGGCGATTGCCCTACGGCACGTCTCGGTGTCGGAGGGTGGGAGCAGCACCCTCGACGACCACCGTTTGGAGTAGCGCGCGGGGGACACCGCGCGCGCCTACTCGGGCCAGGTGATTAGGCGGCAGACTTCCCCAAGTCTACCGCCCTCTGGCTGGTGTTAGGGGGGGAGGCGGCGATCGTGGGCCGCTCTCCGGCGCCCGGTCCTCCTGCGGCGGATGGCGAGCTCGGCGTTGGCCTCTCTCGCCCTCTCCGCCACCTCCTTCTGCGACATCACGACCTCGCAGAAGGACAGGACGGCATCCCAGGACCTTTCGCTTTCGGCCATGGCAGAGATCACGGCCGGCAGCGTCAGGTCCGCCCCCACAACACTTTTGAGCGCCTCGCGCTCCGTCACCCAAGCTGGGCACTCCTCGAGCACGTGCTGGGCCGTCTCATCGACGCAGCCGTGGCAGTGGTGGCAGCGTGGATCCGGCTCTCTCCCGGCGACGCGGCACAGGTATCTGCCGAAGCACCCGTGCCCCGTGAGGACCTGCGTCAACCGGAAGGTGAGAACGCCGTGACGTCTCGCCAACCACTGCCTAAAGACTGGGCGAACTGCGTCAATGGTCCTGCGACCAGCGGATGGATTCTCCAGCCTGCAGAGCCACTCCTCAAGTGCGGCATCCCGCTCCTCCTCGCTCTCATGCGGTGCTGGACTAAGGTCCCCGGACGCAAGACCTCGACGCCGAAAATAGTTCGACGCCAAGGAAAGCGCATCCAGGTCCCAGGGTGTAACTCCAGCCAGCACGCACGCTGCTTCGCCCGAGATAGTGCGGTACCCTCGCACAACCCTCTGCGCCATCACTCTTTGTGACTGCCGCAAAACAGCCACATTTTCCCGACAGAGGGCGTCCGCCCATACTGGAGCACCGTAGAGCGCCATGGAGCGTAGAACCCCAAGATAAAGGCGCCTGCTGGCACAACTTGGTCCGCTCACGTTGGGCAACAACCTGCTCAGCGCACCTGCCGTTTTAAAAAGCTTCGGCGCAAGGGCCTTAAAGTGCGCCTTAAAGCTCCACCGGCTGTCGAGCACGAGTCCTAGGTACTTCATCGTACTCGACAAGCCGATGCGGACTCCGCCTACTGTGATATGCGTGCCCGGTGGAGGCGCTTTTCGAGTGCCGTGAAAACAAAGGGCCTCGGACTTTTCTAGGGCAACCTTCAGCCCCAACCGGCGTATCCTGCCGACAACGTGGGCCACTCCCGCCGTTGCTAGTAGCGCCGCCTCTCTATGGCTATTCGCCCGCGCCAAGACAAGGGTGTCATCTGCGTAGCAGACAACGCTGACTCCTCTCAAAGTGCTGCCCCTCAGCACCCAGTCATAGCCAATGTTCCACAGGAGCGGCCCAAGAACTGAGCCCTGTGGAACTCCGCACGACACTTCCCGTCTCCCCCAGCCGTTCCGCTCAGGAAAGACCACGGATCTCTCGGAGAGGTAAGCCCCGATGACGCGACACAGGTAGGTCGGCACCCCGTGGTAGCGGAGCGCCTCCTTGATGCAAGCCCAGGGCAAGGAGTTGAAGGCGTTTGCGATGTCCAAGGACACCGCAAAAACTACCTGACCCTGGGAGACCGCATCCTGCACGCAGGACTTGACCCGCAGAATGGCATCCACGGTTGAGCGACCGCCGCGGAAGCCAAACTGCGCGTCCGACAGATCCGGCCCAACCTCCACCATGTGCTTGATTAAGCGCCCAACAACGACGCGCTCAAATAATTTGGCCATCTCGTTCAGCAACACGATGGGGCGGTACGCGGAGGGAGACTCCGCTGGACGCCCTTTCTTTCTGAGGAGGACTAGCCTGCCTGTCTTCCACCTTTGTGGAATTATGGCTTGAGCCAGACAGGCAGTGAATAGTCCCCTCACACAAGGCTCTAAAGCGTCCATGGCTAGGGCTAGGGCGCGACCAGGTACTCCGTCCGGCCCAGGGGCAACAGATTTCCCACGCAGGCGCACTACAGCAACCGCCACCTCCTCTTCATCGACCTCTGGAACGTCCTCCAGTCCTTCGTCAACTTCAGCCTCTATGTGTGGACTCATCGCCGGCGGCTGGAAGTCGTTGTGCGGAAAAAGAGTCTCCAGCACACTCCGCAATACCTCTGACTCGAGTGTTTCGGTTAGTGGAGGGGCCCAGGGGCGAAACTTGTTCAAGACCACTCGATATGGTGTACCCCAAGGATCTCTATTGAGTCCCTCCATCATCTCGGCTCGTCCTATAGATATGGCCCTGGCGATCTGGGTTGTTAGGCGCGTCTTCGCCTCCACGTATGTCGCATATCTCCTGTCCTCCTCTGCCTGGTCCCGGCGCGCTCTCCTACGGCAGTGCGAGTAAAGACGTCTGGCAGCGACGCAATCCTCGCGCAGTTGCGCGATCTCTGCCGTCCACCACCATACTTGCTGCCTTGGGGGGCAACGCCCAGAGCGAGGCATTGCGGCGTCGCAGATGCGCCTCGCCAACTCTTCAATGCGCTCTGCTGTCTCGTCTGGTGATGAAGCGTGTTGGGGCAGCCAGGAGGCTACGATCGCCGCCTCCTTCAAAACCTCCGGGTTGAGACGCCTCAGCTGCCATCGCGGTCCCTCCTCCCTCCGACTTCGGTTACGGCTCGGCGGCACCGCCGGATGAGTGGAGATCTCATATAGGATGTAGCGGTGGTCCGAGAGCGTCTCCACATCATCCAGCACTCGCCAGCCGTGGACACGGCGCGCTAAGGCAGGGCTCGCGAACGTAACGTCCACGATGGACCCGCCCTGCCGTCGCACGCACGTGTTGACCGTTCCCTGATTCAAGACAGTTAGGCCGGTGGCAACGATCCATTCTACAAGGACTCTCCCCCGTGCATTCTCCACTGGCGAGCCCCACATGCCTCTTCGACTTCGAGTTTAGGTCCCCCGCAACGAGAACTTCCGCGGGCCCACATCTGGCGATTAGCTCCCCCAACCTGTCCAAGAACTCTTCAAATTCTACCAAGGGTCTGTTTGGGGAGAAATATACTCCGACCACGACGACCCGACCCAGCAGTGCCGCGACGCACCCCGAGCCCTTTACAACACGCGTAAAGGGTGGAGAGCCCGCGGCGACCTGGGAAACGATGGCCACCAACCCGTCGTCGTCGCCCGCCCAGTTGTCACGCGGGAGGACCCAATACGGCTCCGCTATGACAGCGACCTGCACCGACCACTGCGCCAGACTTTGGACAAACAGGTCCTGGGCTCTGGCGCAGTGGTTAAGGTTCGCCTGTAGAACCTTTAGGGCCATAATTAAGTTTGCATGGCCCCCTCCACCTCGTCCCTATTGCGGACCGGCTGTGTCTGGGCCTTTGGCCCAGATGTCGCTCTCCTGCTTTTCTTTGGCTGGGACCGAGTGCAGGCCGCACTTCCCACCGTATGGTCCGCTGGCCTCTTCGCCGCCTCACAGACTGCGCAGTGTGGTGCAGATGTGCATTGGCTACGCAGGTGACCAGTCTGTCCGCACCTGTAGCACTCGGCACTGCGGTCTATTGCCCCCGTGCACCGCGCCGCCACGTGGCCTCCCTCATGGCAGCGATAACACCGCTGTGGCCGGGCTTGCAACAGTTTCACCTGCGCAGAAACCAGTCCCACGAGGAGGCGACCACCGTCCACTACCTTTTTTGCGGCTACTACCGGGCATCTAACCCACGCCGACCCCAGGCCAAACTTGTCCCTCCTGATCTCTCCTGACTTAACAAGGTCTGCATTGCAGCCACCTGCCCGGCTTATTGCCTCCGCCAGTTCCACAGGGGTAACTGAGTCATCTAGGCCAGTTACCCGAAGTTCTGCACACTTTGTGGGCCTGGTGATCTTAACATTCTCCCCGTCCAATGCCTCCTTCAGGGCTTGCGCCAGGACATCCGCTTTTTCACCGCTGTTTGCCCCCGGTATTTCGAGCATACGTGCTCCCGTTGAGGCCACCTTGAAGCGGACATCTTTGATACCCAGGCCAGATAGGTCTACCTTCGTCTTGACCTGGGTGAATACTTCTCCGTATGTGATATTTCGCTCGACAGCTAATGGCTGGAGCTTTATCACCACCGCTGCCGAGCGAGGAGGCCGGAGTTTTCCGACCTTGCGCTTCTTGGGCGGCACTTCCGATTTTTTCGGCTGCTGATTTGTAGCCGTCGTATTCTTCTTAGCCCCCCGTCTCACTACCACGTTCCATCCGTCGGCAGTGGAAGGGGCTGGAGTTGCTTGCGCATTTCCCGCCGTCGGAGTTGGCGCAGCCAGTTGTTGGTCCGGCTTTTTTGTAGCCTTCTTTTTGGTCTCCTTCTTTCCCTTCTTTGCAGGTGAGGCAGGATTCGCCGGGGCGACCAGGGTTGTTACCCGGGCCATAGTCTCCGCAGGTTTTTCAATCGTCTTTTCCTGTGCCTTGTCTGCCGCCAATGGTGGGCGGACACGACGCTCAGGCAAAAGGCGATCTTCCAGGGCTTCAAAACGGGCATTGATCATGGTCCCCACCTGGACCATGATCGTCTGGGCCAGCTCGTCCACGCCAGCCGGATGTTGTGGCGGGGAATTTGCTGGGACCTGGGCCACGGACGTTGACGGACGCAGGTCAATTTGCGCTCTCAACGCCACAAACTCCTGCTTCAGATCGCGCAGCTCCGCTTGCAGGCGTGCGTTACTCGCCCGCAATTGAATTGCCTCTTCCGATGCCGTTCTTCTGGCCAACACGTCCACTGCCGTCGAGATGGAACTGGCCGCCTCTTTTAGGGCCTTTATGAACACCCCTTTAAGGTTCCCTGATCTCTTGGCGACTGTCTCGATTACCAGCAGGCTCTCTGCCACCTTTTTCTGGAGGTCAGACACCAATACCGCCTCCGTGACATTCCCCTCCATGGCCAACGAGTCCAGTGACAGGCACGAACTGGAACGGGTCTGCACCGCCAGCGTCATCCCAGCCACCTCCTCTTCTGCCCGTAGTCGGAGTTCCTCCTGCTTAGCCTTGTTTAACGCAGCTTTGGCTGCGGCCAGCCCCACGTACTCTCCTGTCGTGGGTGGGCGACCTCTACCTCGGCTGGCTACTACCTTGGCCTTAGGCTTTTTCTCATCTTCCGACGAGCTTGTTTTGCTGCCCCGACTGACTCTGGGCCTCTTCCTAGCATCCTTTTTGTACTGGGATTTCCCCAGACTTCCCGCTGATCCCATGGAGACAAAGCTTTCCCCATCAGAGTCTCTGCCGGACCCCGCCCAGAATTTGCCACCCGAGGACACGGAGCCCCGTCTGGACATTGCGCTTTCACCTAGTTGGATGCGGGTGAGCACGGCTTGCGGCTGCTTTGCCGCGAAGACCTTCTCTGCACCTTTATCAGGCGCAACCGATACACCGCCCATCTCAGGCCGAACGCCAACACCGCCAGTCACTGGCACAACCTCTTCTCCGCCCGTCGCAGGCACCACGTCTTCTCCGCCCGTCACAGGCACATCATCTTGAATTTTGGTTTTTTGTGTATCCATATGATTCCCACGAGTATGGGGGAAGGGTGGGTCCATCCGCACAGTGCCCCCTGTCTGCGGATAAGCCCAGCGTAACCCGCATAGAGTTTCGGCCGGTACTCTAGCGGGGGTAGCAGTAGTGACCGATCTACCCATCGGCCACGCATCCCCTCGCGCTGCTCCGCCACTTGGGATTGGGGTGATTTTTTATAGAGGTTTTCTTCCTCGCAGCCCGGGCGGCTAAGCCGAGGCTATCGGTCCCAGTTCCCGGCCGCTAGACATGGTCAACGACACCGGGTTCCGGGATTACGATGTGAGAGGGGCGTTGCACAAAGTGCTAGCCGGGCTGCGCAGTGAAGCGCCCGCCGGGCTCGCCCCACCTCCGTGCTTTTCTGTCAGGGTGTGCTCCCTTAGGCCGTGGGGTTAACAAACCCCTAAAGGCACGCCCATGCCTACTGGTTTTGGTCCGCGCCGGTTGAACCGGTACCACCAATGTGGTGGCTTTCCCCTATCCGCCACCCGGGGGACGCGCCCAGTAGGAGTCCAGCAACTCCCCTGAGAAAATACATGTTGCCATGGGCAACCCCGTGACATATTGTTTAAAACGAAATTGCTTAAACAATTGCAAGGAATTGTAATTTTTTTACCGGATAATTTTTTTATATATTCTTTATTGAAATACAAATAAAAAAAGTCCTATGACTTTTCGCAATAAGGTTAATATTTTTAGAGATATGAATTTTTAAAGGTTCGAGAAATCTCAAACTTGGGTAATTTTGACCCATGAAAAATATATTAAATAAATAAATAAAAAATAAATAATATTTTTAACGTTGAAATTTGAAAATGTTTTTTTGTCGCTTCAGTATAGACCCGATTTTCAGCGAAAGTGCGACATCGTCCTGGTGTCGTTGATTTTGGGACTACGTGGTTGATTGGGATGTTAAAAGATGCGTCTGAATGAGGGCTACAAAATGCAAAAAAGAAATGAAAATACTCAAAGGCTTTTTTTAAATCGAAAAAATGAGAAAAATGCGGTCGCTTTTCCCTCGGTTTCGGTCAGAAAAAAAATCATATCTCGAAATTAAATAAGATATCGAAAAAATAAAAAAAACCCCTAGAGATATGACTTTATGCCTGTTTGTCTGTTTGGGTGTGCGCGTTTTACGAAAAAAGTACTGAACCGATTTTAACTAACATATTTAACATATTTCTTATTTATATTTATTGATTTGTTTGCTTATGTAACTGTTTGTTTGTTTAACTATGAATTTGCTTAACTGTCAGTTAACTTAACTGCCAGTTAGCTTAACTGTCTGTTTGTTTAACTGTCAGTTAATTTAACTATCAATAAGTTAAACTGCCAGTGTTTTAACTATCCCCCGGGAACCGTACCTTTTTCCGGGATAAAAAGTAGCCTATTTGTTCTTCTGATGTATGAACTAATACAGTTTCATTTAAATCCAATCAGTAGTTTTTGTGTACTAAGCTGTATAAGTTACTACATATATAGATTTTTAACTATTCCACAGGAACTCTTTAATTTTTCGGGATGAAAAGTATCTAAAATGTTGACCAGGGATATAAGGTACCACCATGCTAAATTTCATTTAAATCGGTCCAACACTTTCGGAGATTAGCCTGTTTTTTAATTGTTAATTTCGCGCACTCACAAGTATGCGTCACTTACCTTTAAGTATTAATTTATCAAAAATTCCGTGCACATCAGATGCCTTGCATTTGCATGTACTTAGAGCTTCTGCTCAAACATACATTTGGAAAAATGTATTGAATCCCCAATATAAAACATTAGATTTTACAAATTTCGGATACAAACTAGAGAATGGTACTTTGCTACCTTTATTTATGAACAAAAGCCCATTTCCAACTGATCTTAAAAAACCGTGTCACAAAGCCTGTAAAACCAAAGCTTGTTACTGTAAAAAAAATATTAGTTGCATACTTCTATGTGGCTGTGATTCAGGAGACCTAAGAATATAATATATAAAAATAAATACTTTTTTTAAAATCTTGTTTCATTATTTCATACTTCTACATCTATAACCTTCGTTTGAAGAAGTTATTCAATGTAATTACTTTCTGTTTTAATAACAAAAAAAAATATAAACTGATAAAAATCTTGAAAAAGTTAATGGTTTTTAAAATAAATTATAATAAATAATGATTCAGGACACAGTTAAAAGGTAAGTGACGCATACTTGTGAGCGCGTGAAAATAACAATTAAAAAACAGGTATAATCAATGAAATTTTCTTAAATCTCTATTAAGAATAATATTAACTATTGTATAAAGAATTAAAAAAATATTATTTATATTTTTTTTTAATATATTTTTCATGGGTCAAAATTACGCAAATTTGAAATTTTTCAAACCTTTAAAAATTCATATCATTAAAAATATTAACCTTGTCGCGAAAAGTCATAGGACCTTTTTTATTTGTATTTCAATAAAGAATATACAAAAAAATTGTCCGGTTAAAAAATAACAATTCCTTGCAATTGTTTAAGCAATTTCGTTTTAAACAATATGTCACGGAGTTGCCCATGGCAACATGCATTTATATCATCAGTAGGGCAATTTGAAGAGGATCGCATAAAAAAATCGAAGTGGAATAGATTTGGTACTCATGCGCCGATCCTCCTGGACTATGTGTATGTAGTATTAAAAATACGTTTTAAAAAAGGAACTTTTTCAAACTAATATAGCAAGTTGGAAAATGTATTATTTTCAGGGTGATGGAGGATCTGGCCTTGTGTGTCAGGTGAATGGGCAGTGGGTGCTGGTAGGGCTGGTGGCTTGGGGTCTCGGCTGTGCCAACGCTAACGTGCCAGCCGCCTACGTCAATATTGCGGGGTTACTCCCTTGGATCCAGCAGCAAGTTGCAACAGCTTAAGTCATGAACAATATTTATGTATAAACATATTTAGTATATTGAAATCCAGTGATGATAGATTATTTTATAATAAAAATGTTTAAAAATTTAAATTATTATAATTTTATAGAATTAAGGAAGTTGGAAGAAAAAGAAAACTAAACCCTTCAAGTGAATCTTAACACATTAATTTATTGAATCAACAACTTTTTACAAATAGGCGTGTAAATATTACAAAACATATGAGGCCTTACTAACATAAACGATAGTTACATTCTATCTAAGTATAAGCGTTCTAAACGCTGCTTTAACAGATATAACATTAACAAAACTAACTAATGTGTAGTTTGAAAGGACGTAATCTAGTATTGCAGTAGGAGCGGATCCCACACCGGACGATAGCGTTCAAAAGCCTCCCATTCAGTCTTCGTTAGTTTTCTCCTGTTTCACTACCGGTGGCGATAATGTCGCCTCTGATTGTAAAGGAGCAGAAGGAGGAGGAGATGATACTTCTATATATTCATCATTTCGTTCTTCCTTTATTTCTAGTTCTTGCTTTATCGGCACTTCTGTCACGGGCGCAGGCGTCGAAGCCGAAGGTTGCGGTACTAACTCTGTGGGTTGTAAAGCCGCCCAAGCTGAAGCAGCTCCTCTAGCGTACGCCTCATAAAACGCTCTTTGAGCTATTTCAGCTTCCTCGAGATGTACAAAAGCGTGGTTGTCAAGTTCAGCTCGAAAGAAGAACTTTAACCCACATCTACCACAGTCATAGGGCCTAGGCGCCGCTGCGTGTTCCGGTAAATGTCTTTGTAGCCCAGCAGCGCTAGTAAACATGGCAGAGCATAAATAACAAGTAAATGCCCCAATGCCAGCAAAAGTATGTTCAATTAGATGTGCCTGTAAGCGTGTGGGCGAACCGAGAGTGCGTCGACACAATCGACAATCGTGTTCAGACGAGGCTGGGGGCCTTGGAGTTGAGTGACGAGCGTAACAAGATGAACAAGCTCTTGCACCTTCCCCGGCTTCATTTTCAGTTAGAGCTCTTAGACAAATTGCGCACCTTTGTTCATCTTCAGCAGGTCGTAGGTGAAATCTTGCGTGTAAGCGCGCTTCAGCTTCTGAAGCTAATGTCTGACGACAAACGACGCATGGTGCCGGGAGCGCTGGATGATGACGTGCCATATGACTCAAGAAAGCCTCTTCCGAAGGTAGTCGTGAGCGACATCGCGCACAAGTATCTCCTGCGATCACCTAAAATAATCAATGTCAATATTAGTCACTTACGGAATTTACATCCAATGAATAAGCGAAACTCTTAAAAACACATCACCATATCAGTCAGTCTGTTCGCAAATTCATCAAATATACTGTAATTTAAAGATACCATTTGGTACTACATTTCTAGAGGAAAGTAAAAAAGAATATTTTAAAACTAGTTTTTTCAAGTGCATTATTAAATTATAATAAAAGGGCTTATATAAAAACATACTAATTTTAAAATACCTGTTTTAAAAAATATGGCAGTAAATATAATAATATTGGTTTTTTTGGATTGTATAATTATTACTATATGATTTGATATGATATGATATAGAAGTGTAGATTAAAAGATTTTTATTAAAAAAGAATTGATTATTATTAATTGTAATGCGAAGTGAAGTACTCTAAATAAATTCACCTTGCAATGAGTTAATTTATGTTCAGCTAAAATCCCAGCGGAAGGCAGTACTTCATCACAAATGAGACACTTGTGCCGCGCGGCGCCAGAGCCGGAGTGAGCACGCGTATGCGCCTCTAGCTCGGCCCGGCTCCGCGTGCGCTCGCCGCAGTACGCGCACTGCAGCGCCACCGCACCGTTCTTGCGACGGCGTTCCTCGCCAACAGCTAGGCCGTTGTCTCCAGGCCCACACGGGGAGCAAGCGTCTTCACCTTCAACGGCATTGTTGTTTTCTGATCGTTTAGCTCTTGTTACGTCTCCATTTAATCCCTGCAAACAATTAATGTATTCTAGATTTAATAATTTTTACTAAATATATGATCTACTATAATTATTAATTTCCGACACCATTTTTTTTTTTTTTTTTATGTCGGGAAATGCATTTACGCATACCACCTGATCCCCCAGGTGGTGATGTGGGGCTCACCGGCTAGAAGAGCCGGTACTACCCACTAAAACCCGACATTCCCCTCCCCTCCGCCTTAATGGGATGCCGCAGGATCGCTTGCGCATAACTACTACGGCGCCCCGGCGGCAGGTCTGCTAACGGCTGACCACCACACCGATGGGGCTGCTCCACAGTCAACTCTGCTACACCAGAGAGGTACCCGGAGCAGCTCCATAAAACTGAACCTCCGCCCACCGAAGTGGGCCACCTCAAATCGGCTGCAGAGGACAGGGAGAGCGGCAACGAAACACCGACACTCCTCTTCCCCTGCAGCCCCACCGCGTCCGCCATCAAACGGTGGCGGCCCCGTCTAGGCCGCGGAAGGTAGGGAGAACGGCGCACCGAAATACTGGCACTCCTCTCCCGCCGCGGCCTACCCCTCCGCCGGATGCGGGCCTGCGACCCCAGTCCCGCAACCGGCACCCATCATCCGGTTGTGGGACCAAGCGGTCCCACCACCGGTGGCCGCAACGTCTTCGGCTCGAGGCCTAGACGAGCGGCCCCATCCAAGCCATTTGGTCCGCGCCGGATTTCTCCGGTACCACCCGCCGCCCTAAGCGGGTGGCATTCCCCTATCCGCCACCTGGAATTTCCGACACCCTGGTCCAGGCTAAAGAAAGCGTACATATATATTGAAATGCTTTAAAAAAAACATATTACAAACATATCGAAGCAGCATTAATTTTCTCTATTATTTTCCATTATTTTATCATGAATTATACAGTGGGCGTTATATGGGAAGTGTTGGTTCAAATGAAAGTCGATGCAATCACAGTTGTATTTCAAATTAACAATAATCACTTTGTACATAGTTACACAGCACTTCACTACACAACCATATAGCAAGCACTTCACTTCACTATTACCACGTATAGACAATACGGAACGCAAGACAGTTCCTAGTGGAGCGGTCCTAAGCTTGGCTCGGCTCGAAGGCAAGTGTCCAGCCCTCTTAGCACCCCTTCCTTAGCTCGGCTCCGTCGTAGCACGAAGCTCGCCGAGTGTTGGCGATAATACCGAAGGTGCTGCCATCACTCAGGCGTCGTGCTGCGCTTCGTTTAGCGACCGTATTGATGACCGTCTCCGACAAACATATATCTAAATAATAGCGACGTAGTTACTCGCAACGTTCTGGTAGTTTCCTAAGTTTCTAATACTCGTAGTAGCCTATTTATTATTTCAAGTCATTCAACATCTGTGTACTATATTCATCCAAATCCACACACACAAACTTTCGTGGTCTCTAATAGCGAAATAGGTATAAATATAAATATAATAAATATACCTGATGTGTGACATGATGCCCTTGCATATGTCGTTCCAGTAAGTACTGAACTGCGAAGGTTTCAGTACAGGCGGGTATGGGGCATCGGTAGGCGTGTGTGGCGGCGTGGGCACGCAGCGCCCGCGCGCCCGCCAGCACGGCGCCGCACGCGCACCGCGCCGCCGCGTGCCGCGCACGCACGTGCGCTGCACCCTCCGCCTCGCTACGCAGCGCACCGCCGCCCGCACCGCACGACCGACATACCCATACTTTATTCTCACCACTATGAGCTACTGCAAAATGAGCCTGCAACAACATGAATTACCTAATGTTACTTTCGTATTTTATATCACTGCTAGTTTTTGCTGCAAACTCCGCTTAAGCGTTAGGTACGTCGTTAAGATGCTTATATTACTCGTAAGTCGTTACAGTCGGAAGATGTAATAAGCACACTCATAAACTTTCACATTGACGACATTGGTATTATTTAAAATAAAAGAAGATTTGGCTTTACTACATTACTAAATAATTTACAAAAGTAAAAAAATCCCGACTGCGTAAAAGTGAACTAAAAAGATAAGAACTATTTGACCAAGAAACATTGTATTATTCAGTCGGAGCCATACAATACACGTAGCGAGACTTGCAGCTAGTATGTATAAAAGATGTAGTACACTGTACAATAAATTCGTAGGTACTAGTATGTCTCCGACTGCATAATACTATATTTCTTTGTCAAGTTGTTCTCATCTTTTTAGTTCACTTTTTACGCTCGGGTTTACTTATTTTTGTAAATATTTTTTTATCCACAGTTTTTAGTTTTGATCATTTAGGCATTTTTAGTATTATTTAACAATTTCTTATCTTAAAATATTTTTGAAACATATAAGTTTTTAAGAGGCGATTACAAAAGTATAATATACTTTTGTAATCGCCTCTTAAAAACTTGACGCACTTGATTGATTCGGAGGAATTTTTTTTTTTCAAAACACACAAATTGGCTCGTACGAGCCGCCATTTCGTTTTTAATGATATCTATATAGCCTATAAACCACGCGTTATCCAGACGAATCTAACGACGTATGAATCATCAAAATCGGTTAAGCCGTTTAGTAATTACAAGAGAACATAGGGTCAGATATACATCCCCCCCAACGTGCGTTCACCTTGTCGTGGTGGGGGGGCTCAGTAGCGCCCGGCAATCCAACCGGGCGCGAAGCCAAGAAACGCACAGGGAGGTGGCCCACTTCGGTGGGCGGTGGGAGGTGGCCCTCTTCGGAGGGTGGTGTACCATGCGGGTTGCTCCTGGTACTTCTCTGATAGCAGAGTGGACTTTGGAGCAACCCCATGGTTGTTGTGGTCTGCCTCGGCAGACCTGCCGTCGGGGCGTCGTAGTTGAATGCGTAAGCGATCCTGCGACGCCCCATTAAAACGGGGGAAGGTTTTGTTGGGTTTTAGTGGGTAGTACTTTGCCGGTGAGTCCCATACCTCGTGCGTAAATGCATTTCCCAACGTTAAAAAAAAAAAGGGTCAGATATACATATATACGTACAGACAGACATACATACATATATACAGGTCAGTTAACAATAACAATAAGTAATATGCCCGACATAGAGTACGTATATCCAACGTATATATATACATACCTGAATAGCCACTTTTGAATCAAATATTTCCTTGCATAATGTACATCGGTATAGATGATGAGTGTGGAGATCGAAAAGGTGTTTCTGTAAATCTTCGGGAGAGGTAAAGCTGCGTACACAACTATGACACGTGTATTCGCAAGATACGGCGAGATAATGTGCAGTCAGATGTCGTTCTGATGCTGCTGCATCTGCGAATGTTGCACCACAATGGAGACATGGAGTAGGACTAGATCTTCCCAACTCTCCTCCTTCTTCAATATGACCCTTTAAATGAGCTCGAAAAGCTTCAAAATCTGGCAAGGCTGCGTCACACTGATTGCATAAAAGTGTATTTGGGGACATTGTAGTCTTCGGTGTTAATGAATCAGAACTCAACCTTGCCCGTTTAGCAGGGGAAATTTCCCCTGGACTTCGTCTACTAAGATCAGTGGGCGCGGGTTGGTCTATTGTGTGATGTATTGGTGACTCTCCATTCAATAACGCAGAGTGCGCTGCGCGTACGTGTAGTTGTAGTTGTTCCATGCTCGTAAAAGTATCTCGAGTGCAGTAAATGCAAGCGAGTAAAGTAGGTGGCGGTTGAGATGCTACTCGACGAGGTGGTGTCATGGCAGATGTATCTACTCCATGAGCAGTTGCCATATGAGCCTGAAATAACAATACGAATAATTAGTGAATAAAGTAACTTGATTGAAAATAGTTTTATTTTTAGTAGATATAAAATGGTTTTTACTTGTAGCATATCTGGGCGGCGAAACGCGTCGCCACAACGCAGGCAACGCAAAGCTCGCTTTCGGTCAGTTTCACGACCTTCACGATCGCGCTTATGTCCTTGCATATGTGCTGTTAGTGCCGCAGCCGTGTTATATCCTCTATTACACACTGTGCATTGGAATGGTTTTTGATTGTCATGTGTTTTCATATGGATCTTCAAATGGTCACTGAAATTAATTAAAGAATTCAATTAAAGTATGCCTCAATTTTGTTCAGAACCATACACAATTTAAAACTTAATTTCTGCAATATTATTATGTTTTCAAACGTAAATATTACTTGTTTAATAAGTAGACAGACTGTTACGACTGCATCCAAGTAAGAATTTAGAATTGAATGAGATAAATCGTCTTTATGCGGCTTGAGAAGACAATTTGTCATCCACATCATAAGTACCCACATAAAGCACGGACTAAACATAACTAACAAAGAGGCTTTTCACGCAAACTACAGAATAGAGGCGTTCGCCCAAACACCTCCACTAATGGCTGTGCTCACCATGCAGGGTTAGGTATAGACGATTATTTCATTTTTGTGTGACCATCGACGCCATTTGTCAGCGCATCATCTCTTTTCATGTGTCAACGGTTTGTTGGGTCGACAAATTGCGTAGAATTAGTCACGTGGCCGAGTTGAGGTGACGAAAAAGGTGACGCGTCGCCTCGTGGCCGACTAAAGCTTTGTACTGCGGCTCACGGTAATCAATCTTGCTGCTCAGCTATTGTCAAGCAAGCACCTCTTAAGAGATGTACGCGTAAATACTTAGTACCTAATGACCTTAACCAAAAAATATTTTTCCCTCTTTAACATTCATGTGTGATTTTAAAATTCAAATGGTAGAGCATGTTATGGGCTACGCTGAACTTTTACATTTTGTATTATAGTTTGAGATTTTTCAAGTTAAAAATACTAACCTTCTTGAAAATGCAGATTCGCAATGTGCACAGCGATACTTTCTATCACCAGTGTGCAACTTGACGTGACGATCACGGGATCGTTTGTGTTTGAAGAGACGGGAGCAGAATTCACATCGGAACGGCATCTGATCCGAGTGTGTCTGCAAAAATATATTAATAAATATAATGAAAAATATAAATATTTATCATTTTTCAGTTTATTCGTAATTATATTAATTTTAATAGATAAAATCTTGATCTGTATATCTATGTGTCTGTATTCTCAAAATTAAAAATAAATAATCATAATGATTTTAGAGTATTAATTTTATAGTAGACGCAATGGAGGGTAATGTGTTTATGCCTATGTATGTATGTATGTATGTATGTATGTATGTATGTGGGTTTATACCTTTGTGGCACTACTTAGACCAAACGCATGGGCCGATTTTGATAAATTACACGTCGTTTGATTCGACATGACAGCGCGAATGTCATAGACGCCATAATGTGAAAAAGAAAAAATGAGAATCGACGAATTACGTCAAGTGGGGTATCGTTGAAGAGGTATTTAAAAATCATTTTTAGGTTTCTTTCATCATTTTTCATTTTTTTAAATGAAAACTTAATTTATAACAGTTTAGGATATATTATGGTTTAAAGTTGGTTAACAACAATTCTTGCTAATTTTCCTACTTAAAATTACTTTAAAAGCTGTAAATAAATCTATATCTACACAATTATGATAAAATTGGGGCTAAGTCGAATCTGTACCTTAATATTTATTGGAAAATTTTATTGAAATAGACATTATTATCGATACAGAGGCCGAATCTATAGTTTCTAGAATTTTTGTCTGTCTTTCTGTCTGTTACCGCATCACAGAAAAAGCACTGGAAGGATTTTGATGAAATTTGGAATGATGATAGCTGGTTATCCGGGTCAACATATAAGATACTTTTTACCGCAGGAAATTGTCTCATTTCTGAGAAAAAATACAAAAACTGCAATGTAAGAGTATACTAATATGTAAAACCTAAGAATTTGGTTTTTAGTCATCTGACTGCTAAAAGCTAACTAAAAAGATGAAAACAAGTTCACCAAGGAACATAGTATTATGCAGTCGGAGACATACACGTTTCATCCTTGCCGCGAGATGTACAAACCTACTCATTCATACATTTTATTGCTATATAGTGCTAAAAGTTCTAAAGCGTTAAGCGTTAATGAGATTTTAATCGATGGTCTATGCATTAAACATTGTAAATGACAATAATTCAGATACCGTAAGACCAATGCAGTACGGACATAAAGCGTTGATGTTATAATTTTTTAAATCATTAATCAAATCTTGGACATTACAAGATCTTTTTATGGTAAAGAAAATAAACTTAAAAGAATGACAAGGAAATAATATGTATATATTTTTTTAAGATAACGATTGTACAATATCATCTTGTCTGAGTTCCCATGTTATCTGCACAGTAATTACGGAAACATCATCTAGTACAGATACTACATAAATGACAAATGTCGATATGTTACATAATTACAAAACGTATTTATTCAAATAGACTACACGTCACGTCTGCATGTAAAAAATCACTATTACCTAGTGACATTTTAGGATATTCAAAAGTTTATTATGAGAATGCTAATGAGACTTCGCTGCCAGTCAAATAATGGGAACCGTCGGCCTTCGCCACCCGCGAACCGATGGAGGCGAGCTATGTTAGAGGCGGACGGCATTATACACTCCCAAACTGACAGCCACTTCACGCTTTTACTAATTGACCATCTCGTCGATTATGTTCTACTATCATGCTAAATATGTTACACTTGATTGACTGAACATAAGCCCATTGAGCAATATGTTAAAATTTTCTTTTTAGATAAAAATGTTAACCTAACTTCGTAAAGCGGTATGCAATGTCTGACTGACATCGTCTAATTGTTGTTCGTCTAATCTCTTACATTTTATCTTACTATTCGCACATCCACACATGTTGAGAGCGAAACCCTTCATAATTTGTGAATATTAGAAGATGCTAATACATATTTCAATAATGGGGTGTCATCACGAATGAAGAAAAATTCGTTCAAATAAATGTTAATAGATGACGTTACATGTATCGATTTGTTATTAAAGTTGTGTTAAATTAACAAATGATAAAAAAATAGATCCCAAAAGGTGTGTTATAATTTTAATAAATATTATAAGTAAAGATAAACGAAATAATGCGCTCCTAAATCAAATTTACTTAATTTTACTGATCATTGGAAATATCAGCAATCAGATGATGGATTTGAAGTGTATTCACATTCACAACTGGCGCTTTTACTTTTTATGAATTGTTTATCAGGGTTAAAAATGGTTAAAAACCACAGATTTTTATTATTCTAATGCAGAATGAATTTGATAATATTTACCATACGTTACTTTGCACATATTTAATAAATAAAACAGTTTAATTGTTAGGAATCAACGACATTTGTTATCTACACAAGCAAACAAAAATAGCCCGAATAATAGCCTGAATTAGCGCTGTCCAGTTTCTTTGTATGGGATTAGGCGTCTACTTAATATAATATTATGTTATTGTGCTTCAATTAAATTACATATATACTAGCAAATAACTCTAAATAATACCTCTTAATCTCTATATCTTTTTACAGTTAAGAACTTTGAAGTTTGAGGCATTAATGTCTACTTTTAAAATCTTAAAAAAATATTAAGTATCGATAAGCTATTAGTGAGAATTATTGTATTTACTTAGTCAAGGACTTGTGGTTTCGTGTTCCCCAAATTACCATGGCCGGTCCAGTCAAAACCATTAGCGCCGTATAGCAATTCGTTAGCGCCATAGTGTAGACTGTAGCCGAAGCGCATACATAAAAAGAGTTACGCAGTTAAAAAAAGAGTGTGTGAACGCGCGTTTGAAGTAAAACTTCTTTTGGGGCTGTGGCAGATACCGCAATTCAATTAAAACAAATCAAAATATAAATATATATATTTTTTTAAATTATTAGTAATGTATGTTTGAGGATACCAGCAATAAAACTACCAGTCAGCACGTCACTATCACCTTAATACGTATATTATTTTTTCAATAGTTTATGAAACGTCTTTGCAGTTTGCATCCTTCTTTAAAACTAAAACTTTTTTATTCAACATGGCCGAACACACTCTGTACCTTTCACTCATTCTTTCTTTCATTCACTCTTCATACATTACTCATAATAGCTTTTATTTAATTTATGATATATATATATATATATATATATATATATATATATATATATATATATAATATTCATTTTTATAAGTAGGTAATAATTATTATAAAATTATAAATAATAAATATTATATATTTTTATATATAATAAAATATGTGTATATGTACATATGTATATATTTTTTAAATTATTAGTAATAAATATGACTTTCACTTCCGCGACACACTTCCGCGACGCTCATTTTTCTAATGTATTGACTTACCCCTCAGTCACGCCAAAAGAAGTTTTACTTCAAAAACTATAGGGAAGAAGTGCCATGCAATGTTATTAAGTAAAATAACCCCTCATCTTTTATTATTTTAAATTTTAGCTTTTTTTCTATATTTCTTTACTATGTAAGTACAAGTATGAATGAATGAATCAATAACTCTTTATTGAAACTCACCCAAAAAGAGAAAAATATATATGCAAAATATAGAAGGTACAAGAGGCGGCCTTATCGCTAAAAGAGCGATTTCTTCTAGGCAACCTTTAGGTGTAGGAAATAGAAAGAGTATATATTTATACATATAGGTACGTATCATACAAATATATAATAAATAATAAATAAATGCAAGTAAAATATAACTAACCAGTAACTTAATACTATAACTAAATATGTACATAAATACTATACCTATATTATACACAAGCAGAACCCGCGGATGCGCTCCCGGTGAAACTACAAAAATAACTCTAAAAAGGTAGGTTTTATACAAACTTTCATCCCCTATTATACCCTCATAAGAGATGAATTTCTAAAAATGCTAAGCCACCTATTTATTTAATTGTATTGAAAAGCATTCATACCAAGTTTCAAGTAATTCTGATCATAAATAATTTTTATACGTATTTTCGTGTGGGAAAGAGGTAATCTCCCGCGGTAAAAAGTAGCCTATACTAGAGGACTGGAGAGTGACTCCAGTCTTCCAACTATCTTCACACGAAAAATCACGCCAATTCGTCACTCTGTTGACGTGAAAGAAGGAGAAACAAACAAACACACTTTCACATTTACAATATTAGTACGTACAGGGATGTATAAACATAAAATATTATATATACATTTTATTCAAATTTATCTGGCTACTAGCGATTCACCCTCGCTTCGCTCGGGTTCGTTCCTAGCTTGCTTCCCCGTACAAACTTTCATCCCCATTCTCACCCTCTTAAGGGATGTGATTTCCGGGATAAAAACGATTTCACTTACTCACTTTTCATATCATGAGATTTAAAAAAACTCTTATATTAGTAAAAAAAAATTTACTTTCTTTTATACAAAACTTGTCCTGACAATAACAAACAATAAACAAGAGAATTATCCAATTTGGTGCAGTCGATGGAAAGTTATGCGTGTACTTATATTTGGGTAATTCATTTTTATTTATATATTAAAATTATAAATAAAAATAATTAAAACAAAATAATTATCCAATTGGATGCAGTCGATCGGAAGTTTTGCGTGTACATAGATTTCAGTGATTCATTGTTATTTATATAGATTGTTTTGGTTAGAGTAACTTTAAAAAGTCCCATCTAAAGATGCCTTTTGGCGAAGTCTTAATTTCAATGAATGTTTCATGAATAAATCGTTATTTTAAAGCTTAAATAAAATAAAAAGTGTTTTATTATTGTAGAATCTTCTCAATTTATAAGAAGTCGTATTAGTCTTAATCTCCAAATTTCTAGAAAAGGCATAAGACATTTATAAATAAATAGTTCTGTTTTAATATACGTACTTATTTTCTATTTTTGTTTTAGCTATTAGCCTTAAAGTACGAGAGTTAGTCAAATCTTTAAATCATAATTTTTTCTACGTACTAGTTTGATTAAATTATGTATATTTGAAGCATCTCTCAATTAGACTATCTATTTTAGATATTGATATTTGTAAATATGTATGCGTCATACCAAGTGATTGCTGTAATTTAAGTTAAGTTATAGGTATGGTAACGGCATAGAAACTTCATAGACAAAGATGTTTATTATTCAACAGTATTTATAATCAATCAACATATGTAGATATGTTGATTGATTGGTATAGCTGATTATCAGCTATACCTACCTATTAACTAGATATGTTGATATCTATAACATACGACGACCATGCGGAAAAAAGTATGATATCTTTTTCCACACAGCACAAATGCTAGAAAAGGTTTATACATAAGATTCATACATGTATTTTCATGAAAGAAATATTGTGGTTTTTTTATTTACAAAATAATAGCTATTTTTCATTATATGTATGTATATTTATTAACTTGTAACTCTTAAAAATTATGAACATGAACTGTCAAAGCATATTTTATAATGTTTATGATAACCTAAAACTTTTATTCCATACGGGCCCATAAGTTTATTGCTTATATTAACAAATGCAATAAAGAAAGTGAATTGATTATTACGACGTAGTATGTTGGAGGGTTTTATTAATCGCTGTTACTAAGTGTTCTTCGTGCAAAAATCACATAACCATCCCGCTCTACGGGGGCCCTGGGTGCGTGGCGGAGCCCTGCTGCTTGCCTCGTGGCTCTCGCCACGACGCCACGCTCCCTCTTATAGCGAAAAGACACGCAAATGACGCTATTTTTATTATTACCCATCAACAACAAACAGCGTGAGAGCCTTCATCGTAACGCACGCCGCACAGTTAAATTTCCGCGTAAAGCGCACCAAAAGACATTTGAAACTAGTTGTAAGTAGTTTAAGGCGAGCATGATAGCTAATAAAGCTTTGAAATGGGCAGCGGACGGCTACCGAGCGGCTTTCCCAGTACAATAACTGCGATGTCATCGTCGGTTAAAGTCGCCCGCGCAGTCGGGGTCAGATTGAAGGTATGTTAGTGACCGCTACTCGGCACCCGAAAATTTCTATATCAACATGAGGAATCATTCTACGAATTAGACAAGCGTTTTATATAGTTTTTTATGAGTAGGTACTTGTTTTAAAACTGCTTACATAATTTACTTGTACGACAACGAATTCTTTTGACTTGAAATAATTCTTTTTGTTTAATTTATGCACTTAGTAACTAAGCGATTAACATAATATTATTATATTACTAGCTACAAATAACTATATTTTGCTCGACCTTTTTCACTCTTTAGGCAGGTATGTTATCATTTTATCACAGTAGTTTTAGTACCTTAGAAAACAATTTTTAATAAGACTTGTTATAAAAACTTTTTAACAAAAAATAAAACCGACTTCCAGGCACTAAAATGTAAAAAATAACTAAACGGAGGTTTTCATTTAGAATAGATACCTAATCACAGATATTTTCGAAGTCGGTGCCAGCCGATGCAAATACATAATATTTACCTATTAGATATTCATATCTTAAAATATTGTAGGCTGGCACTGACTTCGAAAATATCTGATTAGCTATCTATTCTAAATGAAAACCTCCGTTTAGTTATTTTTTACATGTTAGTGCCTGGAAGTCGGTTTTATTTTTTGTTAAAAAGTTTTTATTTTTCCATTTTTAGTGTAGACGTAATAAGCAGGTAATTTGTAAGAATAAAGTTTTTTAATAACATATTCGATAAAACAATTTATTTAAAAAAAACAAATTATTGTTGATTTTTTTAAATAACCGCTCGACCGATTTCGATAAAATTTATATGGGACCACCTGGGAAGTATACCCTTTAAAACAACAAAAACAATCCAAATCGGTTCAGGCGTCTTCGAGTAATCGGTAAACATACATAAAAAAAAAGATTCCGACGAATTGAGAACCTCCTATTTTTTGGAATTGGAAGTCGGTTAAAAACGGTCAAATATGCTCAAAACGTCATCCGGATGTCACGTACAAAGTTTTGAACCGATATAACGATAGCTATAGGTTAAAAGTCTACTTAAAAATTTGATTATGTATACTTTCAAGCAAAGCTTGTAAAAAATGTTTTAAAAATACTGTTTAAAAACCTGTACGGTTGCAGCCGTACCATAAGACATCACTTATGTTGCTACTGGGTATTGTTGTTTACGAAGCAAAAATAAACTTGATTTACTTCATATCACAACCAACATATGCGATATATTCAGGTATTATGAGCTTTGTTTTAAATTATGCATTAACTTCAATGCAATATGATATGAATACTAAGTTAAGTCCACATTGGTGGACCTGTTCCTATTCCCTGCATTTTCTGAAGCTTAATGTAGAAACGTAGGCGTTAAAGATAAACATTAAAGTTTAAACACTCTTTCGTATACAAAAATAAGCATAGGGATACTTCTTACAGTAATCGATCTTTGATGGATATCTAAGGTTGAAGTATCGACTATCGATTTACTTTTATAATGATGCCTTTTTCAAGCGGTGCAGTGATAAAAGAGTGGAGTGCCCGGCTAGTGGCTAGGGAGTTCTTATCAGGGTACTATTTCCGGCCGTCACCGCCATGTCGCGGAGCGTTCGACGCGATCTTCGCGATACATTTGTCGGCGCAACACCACCAACCAGCGGATAGATCTATATCTTTAAAACGCAACAGTGACTGCAATTGCATACCGATAATCTAATGAAAACCTTTTACGATTGAACCGGCCAATTACAAAAATAATCAATTCCATATTTAATGATGAGCAAGTTACATTTTTGTCGGTGCTGAGATTCGGATCTGAGTTTTGTGTAGGCGGAATACGACATACGTTATGCAAAGTGACATTTCTATTTTCCCTATCGCAGCTAGATCTGTCGCGGCGTGTGTCGCACGGCAATGGTAACGCGGCGAGATCGGCGCGACACAAAGGAGTCGAGATGTTCATGCGGCGTAATGGGCCGCATGTCACAATTTCGCAGGCCTCAGCGTTCTGCACTGCAAGGCTACTGCGATGCATATCTCAATACACACTGTCTCTACAAATGGACCATTTTGGGTATCTACTTGCTAATGAAGCTCAGAGTTACATGGCGAAACTGGACTGAGAATTTATAGATATGACTACCTTAATAGTTGTATTGTTGTTATGTTATTCAAGCTCGTTTATGATAGTTAAACTAGTTTGTTATTACTTGAATGTTCGTTATGTGTCGTTAAGTGATGCCTTGTAATTTTTTGATTTTAATCTTAGAGTAACTTTATGAGAAATAAAAATAATTTGTTATATAAAGGTTACTTGGCTATTAAACTGACCTGCTCATGTTTCTTAAGGTAAGACAGCCTAGGGAATGCTTTTTCACAAAATTGGCACTTGTATGGTGTGTGTTCGGTAGCACCGAGAGTGAAAGGAGGCTCGACTTCAGCTTCAGCGTCAACGGCATCTGCCGAAGTAGGAGTGGAGGACGGTGATGGGGACGGCTCTGGAGTCGACGACGGCCAGGAGCTGCCCGCCGTGCTCCCAACGCTTCCCAGGGCTTCTGTTAAAATGAAAATATAGTTTCAAATATATCTTAACGTAATTTCATATAAATTATATTTCGTAATCGAACAAGAATAAGGCGGAAAAGTATGATGAAATATATTAAATCAATCTTATCATCAAATACTAACCAGCTTACATATAATTCTCCTAGAACCAGAGATAATCATTAACATAAGCATTTTCTCTTAGCTAAGGGATTATACTTATTTAAAGATTAACTAGCTATATATTTATATCTACCCCAAACAAACCCCAAAACAATCGTTGTTGAAATTTTTATGTTTGTATAATGAATATCTGTGCGCATTTCACGCAAAAAGATATGAACGGATTTTAACTAAATTTTGCACAGTGATAAATTATTAATAAAGTCAACATTTTGGATACTAATACTTTCCTAGATTTACGAGAAATATTTAAGATTTATAATACTTTTTACTACAGGAAAATCTTTCATTCCTACGGAAAAATCGTCATAAAAAATCTATGATTTATTACACAGTAATGTTAGCAGCAGGGTTATTAAAATACTTAATAATTTATCCCGGTAAAATACTCTTTTTTCATGGTAAAATGCAAAATAAATTTCGAACGCAAGTTGCTAATCTATAGCTATACATATTACATAGCATAAAACAAAATCGCTGTCTGCTTCTGTTTCTCCGCTTATTTCCTGCACATGGGACCGCACAACGGGGTTGATAAATATTTTACTAATAGAATTAGCAATAAACGAGGAGGTATGTGAATATAATTTGTAAATATGTTGGACCAAATGGCTAAACTAGGACATAACGCAGTTTCGTCCAAAAAAGTGTTTTCGTAGCCATGTATGCTGGCACTGGCTATTCGTTTAGAGATACGTCAAAACAATGTACTAGAAAATTGTAGGCCTTAATAATGAAGATGAAAATGATGCAGAGTAAATGTTTATAAGATAATTATTTAATTATTAATTTTATTTTAGGCAAAATAATTTTTAAAAACCTAACCAAATAATAATAGCAACATCTTAGCCTTTTAAAGGCCTGTAAATCACATTAGGGTGCGCTCGGATACGCATATTTCCTAAAGCCCTCGTAAATATCCTTAGGCTCTATATTTCGGTGTTACGGGCATATATATCTCTGAGCACCTCCGAGTGGCGTGAAATATAAACAAATTGAATGGGCTACAATGACGAGCGTCAGCGCCATCAGCGCAAATGATGACTAATGTCGGAATCCGACCAACACGTCTAGTCTGCGCGCCAGAAAATAAGCCAACGATAAATATAAATGATACTTATAATATAGACTTATAAGTAGAAATAAGTGCTTTATGTTCCATATTAGAAAGGACGTTCTAAGGAACTAAAGTTTTCATGCGACTACGCCCGCGAGCATTGAGTGACATTTTCTAAGAATATTTGGTATTTCTTCTTAATGCGAGTGATAAATACAAGTATGATGGTTATGTGTACGTTATAAAGTTTCAATATTGACAATAGACACAAAAATTCGACATCATATATTTTTTATTATTGGATACGTAGGTATTAGTCCGTAACCACTTGCACAGATTTTTTTTAATTATGAAAATAAAATAGTAAAAAATTTTTTTTAAGTTAAACGGTTTTACTGAAAAGTAAGGTAATAATGATATAGATAATGTTCTAAAAGCTAAAAAATAATTAGGTAGGTCTTAGGTTCCAGTCATCATATCACTCTCATCTAGGTTCTACAGCATTGATCAGGCTCATAAATAAAACCGTAGGGCGTTACGTATTTACTCAGGTTACGCTACGCTCCACTATTTTTTATAGCGTACTGTATTCTACTATTCAAGCCCTATCATTTGATACTCACATTGAGGGGGTTGTGAAAAAATATGTAATCCGCCATTTTCTGGCAGCAGCCATCTTAGATTTACAATGATACTAAAATATATTCAATTGTATTATTAGCAGAACTAAAGATATGTAGTAAATATCAGATCAATCATCATGTCAACAGGAAAGGGGTAAAATTTCAATTACTGACCCAAACAAACAGGGCAAGCCAAATAATATAAAATGGTTTAATTAGCATTAGTACATATATCGACGGGTGAAAGGCTATTTGGTTTAAGCGACATTTTCTTAACTTTACAGGAGAGCCAATTTAGTAAATTAAAAAAAAAGTTTTTAAATTGGCTCTCCTGTAAAATTAAAAAAATGACGCTTAAACCAAATAGCCTTTACCCGTCGATTTGACTTTTGCTAAATGGATTTAATGTATTTATAATGTTTTAGTGCAAGAATGTGTATTAAAAAATTGCTATTGCGAACTATTTGCGAAAATATTTATGCACCCATCGCTTAGATAAGTATTTATTTGTTTTACTCAATATTAAATTTATATGAAATGAATTTGTTTTTTAAAAACTATTATTGATTTAGGATATATTTTTCCTTATTTGAAATGATTTTATAAAGTAATTTATTTAACGACATGCTTTCTTCTCAAAGTTTCATTTTATAAATAGATACTATTTATTTCAATAAGGGCCCTTCACAGTTCTACACCCTGGATTCCCTTAACGTCATTGTTAAAGTGTAAAAAATGATATCAAAGAAAGAATATTGCAATACATATTATTTCTGAAAGTATTTTAATATAGTATTTAAAATAGTATTTATTGAAATTACAACTATCTATACATATAATAAAATTGTAACTAAGCCGAATCTGTAGATTAAATATTTTTTGGAAAACCTTATTGAAATAGACATTATTATCGATACAGAGGCCGAATCTATAATTTTTAGAATTTTTGTCTGTCTGTCTATCTGTCCGTCTGTTACCGCATCACGGAAAAACCACTGGAGGGATTTTGATGAAATTTGGTATGGTGATATCTGGTTATCCGGGTCAACATATAGGATACTTTTTACCGCGGAAAAATGTCTCATTTTTGAGAAACAATACAAAAACTGTAATGTAAGAGTATACTAATATGTAAAACCTAAGAATTTGGTTTTTGTTCATTTGAACGCGGGCGGAGCCGCGGGCAATGCTAGCACTTAATATATAAAGGAAACAAATTTAGATTTAATTATTCATTGCTGTACAATATATTAATTATGTTTGTAGTATAATATAAACCAATCTGATTATATAATATACATATTTATTTTTAGGTACCTATCTTTATAGAAGAAACTAACAGTTTCCATTTTTTTCTATTAATGACACTAAAACTCGTCAGTAGCAGCTATACAAAACAAAATCGGTTGACAAACAGAGGAGAAAAAGATCCCAAACTGTTTTGTCTTTACTTATTTATATATAGACTAGGTATTATACTACTACTTCGCCTTTAATATTTTTCAATACTTGTGACTTACAAAACATCATAATATATGTACCTTATAAGAGAAATGACTTATAATATCTTTAATATTTAACAGGCTAATTCAACCAGAAAAAAGTTTGAAATCAAGGAGTTTCTTTTATCCGAGTTAAATCCTCAGATAAAGTACCCTTACAAAACGAACTGGTAGAGATTGACTTACGGTAAGAAATAAGTAAATACTTGACTGAACTCGACATAATGTAAAATGCAATCATGCATTCTGCCCAAGGATATTAAGAGGTAGGAGTTAGCCGAGTCAGCAGGATAGGACGTTCGTAATTAGCTGCGATTGCGGCAATTCAGGGGCGATTGGCGCCGCGGCGTGCTCGGTGGGCGGCGGAAGCTCATTTCCTAATTGCGGCGTCTGAGACACCTAGCCCGGCGCCTCGCCAATCAAAGGCAATCGCCAAACATTACATTCACACCACTAACATTTGAAACATGTAATTATTCAATGTATCTATCATTGTTATACCTAATACAATAGTGAGTAGCCTTAGGTCTTAATAAGAAACCTAAGTGTTATTCCAAGTTATTGTCTATCTGTATACTAAATTTTATCTAAATGCGTCCCACGTTCTCACCCACATCCACACACCACAATATGTACACAAGGTATAAGTTGATTATTGTATTTTATTTAAATACTAGCAGTTCCCGCGGAATCACCCGCGTTCAAACTACAAAAAATCAAAACTTTAACTTTATGTTATAACGTCATGCTGAATTTTGATTTTTTTTAAATACGTGTTTGTTTATTTGTATTGAAGGGTGTTAATAGCAAGTTTCTATTATTTTGTACACATACATACGTCTGTTTTATTTTAACGCTAAATACCACTTTCCGTACATTTTACACATGAATTAGCCACATTTCACATTAAAAATTACAGAGTTTCCTACAAATAAATTACAAAATTTCATCCCCCATTTTAACCCTCTGCGAGTGATGAGACACGTGATTATTTAACTGTATTGACGATCATTAATACCAAGTTTCAAGTAATTGTTATCCTAAAAAAAGTTTTCCTATATTAACATTATAACCCCCTTTTAACCTTCTAAGGGATAAATTTTGAAAAAAATATAGGTATTGTTTTAATTTTATTTTAAAGGTAAATGATACTTTCCGTGCATTTCGCATAAAAAAACACTGAGATTCATATAAACTTTCATCCCCTATTTTAGCCCCTTACGGGATGAATTTAAACAAATACTAAAAAATATTATCATTTAATTGTTTTTTAAGAGCATTAATACCAAGTTTCAAGTAATTCTGATCATAAATATTTTTTACCCATATAAACTTTAGCACCCCTTCTTATGCCTTTGATGAATATAGAGAGAATAATAATTACAATTGTTCAAACCCTTGTAAAGTAATTGCAGAGAGAGTCGCTATCTCAAGTGTCTCAATAAGATAATGCTGGTGCTACTGTTTTTAACAAAATATTAAAAGATAACTAATAGCAAACGCAATAATAATACTTATTTTATTAATGATATAATATTAAATACTAAAGATATTAAGAACAAAAAATGTTTGATGAGATTAGTATGGTTGAGTGTAATCTGATAATATTAATTTAATAAAATAAACTGAATCAAAAAGAAAAAAATTATAAAAAAATTATCATAATATATTCTTAAATGAAAATATGTAATATACCTATTTACATACATACATACTGTTGATGTTAACATAATTCTGTGTTAAACAACACATCTTTGTCAACATAACTTAGGTAAATGGTAGAGCTTTCCTACCGTTTTTTACTTAACAGTTACATAATTGTAAATCTCATTATAAAGATTAGTTTTTCATTACTAAAGTATTTTACTCTTAGAAGTAATTTTTTAATTTGCGTGATATTGGAACAGACTGATTGACTTTGAATGCTGTAATTGAAAGACAAAAAAACTTCAATTAACCAGTAGTTGTATTAATTCATCTTTGTGGCTTTGTAATTAAATGTAATATAATGTTGTTATAAGAATAATATATGAAATTAAAATTCGATAAATGCAACAAAGCTTTACGTTACGTACTGCAAAAAACGGAAATATTAAAGCTGCAGACACACCATTTGATTGTCCAAACGTCCCTTGTCTCAATCAGACTGAGACGACTACTCACCTTGTTGGTAATAATTGGTGTCATTTCACTAAGCTGGTATATATAAATTATTTAGAATCCTAGTTGGGTTCCAAATAATTTATATTTGTATCAGGAATTAGAACGAATAGCAGAGTTATTTTTATACTTTTATTAATGACTAGCAACTCACCCTCGCTTCGCTCGGGTTCGTCCCTAGGCACGTTTTAATTTTTTTGGAGTGGAACTCTAATTCTTTTAAAAAATAAAAGTAGCCTATGCTTCAATATAACATCAGATATCTTCCAGTAAAAGTCGTGTCAAAATCAGTCCAGCCGTTTCAGAGATTATCCGGAGCAAACAGACAGGCAAAAATTTTAAAAATTGTGTTTGTCTTATAAGTACCGTATATAATTTCCATATGCATTTAGTAAAACGCTGTTATTTTGACATTACAAACAGACATTTCAATTTTATTTATCTGTATAGATTTCACGATTAACGTTATTATATATATATTACTAGCATTGCCCGCGGCTTCGCCCGCGTTCAGATGACCAAAAACCAAATTCTTATGTTTTACATATTAGTATACTCTTACATTGCAGTTTTTGTATTTTTTCTCAGAAATGAGATATTTTTCCGCAGTAAAAAGTATCCTATACGTTGACCCGGATAACCAGCTATCATCATACCAAATTTCATCAAAATCTGTCCAGTGGTTTTCTCATGATGCGGTAACAGACAGACATACAGAAAGACAGACAGACAAAAATTTTAAAAACTATAGATTCGGACTCTGTATCGATAATAATGTCTATTTTAATTAGATTTTCCAAAAAATATTTAATGTACAGATTCGACTTTGTTACAATTTTATTATATGTATAGACTAGCATTGCCCGCGGCTCCGCCCGCGTTCAAATGAGAAAAACTTAATTCTTAGATTTTATATTAGTATACTCTTACATTACAGTTTTTGTATTTTTTCTCAGAAATGAGATATTTTCTCGCGATAAAAAGTACCCTATATGTTGAACCGGATAAGCAGTTATCACCATACCAAATTTCATCAATACCCCTTCAGTGGTTTTTCCGTGATGAAGTAACAGACAGACAGACAGACAGACAAAAATTCTAAAAACTATAGATTCTGCCTCTGTATCTATAATAAAGTCTATTTCAATAAAATTTTCCAAAAAATATTCAATGTATAGATTCGGCTTCGTTACGATTTTATTATATATAGATATACGTTATTCGTCTTGATAATGCGAGTATCATATTGTATATACATTGTATTCAGCCCTTTTTAACGTCCCACTGCTGGGCACGGGCCTCCCTTCAATACGAGGGGGATCAGGCCATAGTCCACCACGCTGGCCAAGTGCGGGTTGGCGGACTTCACATGTCTTTCGAAAACTTGCTAAGTTCTCTCAGACATGCAAGTTTCCTCACGATGTTTTCCTACACCGTAAGGCAAGAGGTAATCATGTTAGAAATGATTCGCACATGAAAATATCAGACCGGGATTTGAACCCGCTTCACTCGGTTTCCCAAGCGAGAGCGTTACCACTGGGCTACCACTGCCTTTTTTTTTGTATATACATATCATTAAAAATCAAAATGGCGGATCTAAAGCACCAATTAGTGTATCGAAAATAAATTTACGGTTTTTCAATTATTTAATAATCAAAATACTGGTTTTTAAGAGGCGATTACAAAAATGTATATTCAACTATATTATGTTTAAAATTGTTTAAAATTGAAGATAAAAAATTGTTAAATAAAACTAAAAATGTCTAACTGGCCAAAACTAAAAAGCTGTAAATAAAAAATAATTTACAAAATTAAAACAAAATCTTAATTTGTTTTTTACGCATTTCGGATTTTTTTTCTATGAAACCTATCGATCTCGCTCAAGTGTCTGAGCCAAAAATTGTATAATTTTTTTATCCAGGTCGAATTTCGCACCAGTAAGTTTAAAATTGGCTGTAGTCGATTAAGTTCAGCTATCCTTTAACATTTTTGTTTAAAACCATTAAAATCAATCAATCATTAAAGTTTTTAAGCAGAGGTAATCTATTGGTAAAATGCTCACTTGATTATCCAAGTGACGCGGGTTGAAAGAATCGCACATATTTGACATTTTCATGTGCGTATCATACTCAACCACTTATCAATATGGTGAAGGGAAACACAGTACGGAATATCTAAAAAGATCTAACTACTTTTCGAAAGGCATTTGGCTAGCGTGTTGGACTATCGCCTGATCCCTATAGTATTGAGGAGAGGCCATTTGCCCATTGCCAAGTTGGACGTTAAAAGGAATGAATTATTACACCTATTATGTGTTTCTTTACTAAATACAATTTCCCATTATTGACAATAATGGTTCTTTAGTCTTTCGTAGAATGCAGATAGGTTGGATAGATTTCTTATAGGTACAGAGACACTTCAAATTAATTGATTAATTAATTTAATGTATTGTTTGATTATGGATACATATATAATATACCTATGTATCGCTAATCAAATATAACATGTTGATAAGCGTTAAAACGTTGTAACACTAAATATTTTTTATTTCATTAAACGTTTTGAATTTAAAGTTACATTTGATTTAATCCAATAAATGGTATTGTTCAGTAGTACCTATTTACATGTTATTTCATGCACAATGATAGATTACCGGATCGAAAACCTTCCTTCTTATACAAATAATTTTCAATATATTTTTCACTTGCTATACCTACGGTGGAACATGACTAATAAACCACCATGTCTGAGACCTTACAAGTTTTTTAAATACTTGTAAGGTCTTTTAAAATTTTCTGAAGAACTTGCGATTGCCCAGCATAGTGATCGATGGCTATATAGAGTGCCATGACCGCTACGATTCGGATTCGGAGGAGCGGGATGACAAGATATTGTTCTATTGTGAGTAAGAAGTATAGAGAGATAGATTCTCAACGTAATTTAGCGCCATAACAGATTTTAATTCACTACAAATTAATTAAACAACCAATCAAAAAATGAAATTCGATAACTGAAGAAAAGACGTGTGTGAGTACTTATGTACGCATAACAAACGGAAGAAGTTATACTTCTTTGGCGTAACAGAACAAAAATAGCTAAAATTTCATCCCGTATGTCACAACTGTCTGTTTGTAAAAGGAATGCAGCTAACTTTATCATGTTGCTTACGAATTATTATATAAATACGAAATATTACATATAATTAGCGAATTACCACTCACTGGCTGATTAATCTCGAATGTCAAATCTCAGAAAGTATAAATGCTAAAGCCTTGAAATTTTGGCAGATTGAATCCTCATAATTTAACTCAAAAGTTGTAAAAGTCGGGTTGGATGTTTATATGAAAATACGTTATTTTTAAGTTACATTATCCAAAATTAGAAATGATCTTTTTGGTTATAATTAAGTACAATTTTAACTCAGAGTCTCGGTCACCCTCTGGGGATAGAAAATATGTGAGAAACGGAGTAATAATTAGACATAAATAAATTACGCGAGCTGAACTACTCGTTTAACTTTGCTTTTTTTGTGTAGTGGAGGTATATGTCACATATGTTTTTCGCACATAAAAATTGATATACCTACATACTATACTCACAAGGTGGATACACATTACTACATGCTTTAACAGATTAATTATGCATTATTTAATGATCTTATTTTTTTAAACCGCGGATAATTATTTTCTGGCATCACTCTAATCTAAAAAACTCTTTTCCTATCTCATTTACAGAACATACTATACTTAAAATACTCTTTACTTAAAATGTTTAAGGTGTATGAATATAAATCTAATCTTAAAAGGAAAATATATAAATGAAAAAGATAACTGAAGGTTATAATATTCGGAAAATACTTAATTTTATAAGAACAATCCTTTAATAATAAAAAAATAATAATACAAAAACATGCTATTATAACGCTATAAAGCTTATTTAAAAAATATAATAAAACTTTGACTTAGTGATCGGATTTAATTTTACATGTACAGAAAAATTAATTTAAATTATAATGTAATTAATATTTACTATATTAAGACTAATTTTAACTTTTGAAAAAGTCTTTGCGAATAGGTACTCACGTTTCAAATCTTCTGGCGTCACGTCGTGATTTTCCTTGTTTGCCTGTATCTTCTCTATTAGATGTTCTAGTCTGCTGCTGTTGCCTTTGAATAGCATTATCATGTCGCTGGCACCCTGAGGCCACCAGAAGTCCTTTAACGGTATAGCCTATTACCGCACTGCGGCTACCGAGGATTGCCGCAGGTGCATCGATACCAGTTTATTTTGGTGTTTTTTGCGGCCGAATTTATCACGAGTGCGAATTAATGCGCAGCGCGTGTCCGACAGGTGATACTAATTGAAGGGATGTTCGCTGCTGTGCTTACGGTTTGTTCACGGCAATTATTTGGGTGACTGTTATCAGGATAATTAGGGACAATCCTTTACGCGTGCACCTTTGCGTTCCGGTACCAGGTGTAGTGGAAACGAGTTGGTAGTGAGCGGTTGCTACATATCGGCCGTAATTGAGGACAAAGCTGGAGCCGTGGTGACGGTGCGCGCGATAAGACTGGCGAGTGCGGCACGACTGCGAGCTCCGAGGCGCCGGTGGGCGAGACCGAGGCGCCCGAGCGCACCTCAGCACCCTGCGCCCCGCCTTGTGCCCCGCCCATTGCCTCCCCCCTTTCGCACCCACCATTTACTATTTTTGTCCTTAAGTTTAAATACAAGTAAATAACAGACAAGTACATATGAATATTACAAACATAAAGTTTAAAGTAAGGTACATACCGTCGGGACCTACTGTTTAAAAAAGTTTACAGAATTTCACTCGTTACATAGATATTTTTGATATATTATTGTTATAAAAATAGTGTAACGCATGAAAATTATGAATGTTTAAGAGAATTCACCAAAAGACCTATAAATTATAATCCCTCGTGTTATCAATCTCATATTTTGGAGCCGTCACAAAACAAATAAGTCTTTGGGAACGCGGTATAGATATGGAATAATCGAAGTGACAGCAGAATCACGCTAAAAGCTTTTGTTTATAAATTTAGACAGGACGGAAAATTGCCCAAGTATTTTCCCGTTCCACTCGGAGTGGGCGCGACCAATGGGCGCTCCCGCCTACTGGTGTCGTGCTCTATTATAGACAGAGCTATAGAGTCAAAGATGTTTTTTTTGTCACTATTAGTATAAATAACATTGCTACATAGAATTTAAGATTTATTTTATTATTTCGAAATAGTTGACGATGTAATAACACAGACTCAAGCAATTACTAACAATTTAGAAATAAAATTATAAACACAACCAACAATCTTTGATTCTCGAACCATTTTAGCAATTGTATTACATCAATAAGCAATAGGTAGGTATAACAAATTTCATTAAATACTCGTTAATTATTTTCTATGTTATTACTTTTAACCTACCTACCTATTGGTAGGTACAGTCTTTTTTAAGTTCAAGTTAAAAAGTAATATTATCATATAAAAAAATTTCATTACTTTACACACCCCGAAGAACGGGGAGCACGAACTGTATCTTTGGTAATTTAATGATTGATACTGTATATTTCATCCCGATAGCTCAGACCCACCTATCAACTTGACTGTAAGTATTTAGTAACTTAGTGTTCAGCCCTTTTTAACGATCCTCCCTTCAATACGAGAGGGATCAGGCCATAGTAAACCAAGTTGGCCAAGTGCAGGTATGCAAACTTCGCATGTTTTTCGAAAACTTGCTAGGTTCTCTTAGATATTTTCCTTCACCTTAAGACAGTGGCTCAATCATACCTATTAGAAACCAAATGGTTGGCACATAAGAATATCAGAGCTGTGAGACCCGGGATTTGAACCCACTTTCCGGTTTTCTAAGAAAGCGCGTAACTGGGCCACAAGTGCCTTTTGTAACTTAGAGTAGTTGCCTTCCATAACTTAATGTAGTAGCTTTTATTTTGCCTACATATTTTTTAAATATGAAGTATAGGGCATACTATATACTTATAATTTAAAAATATATCGAGATCATTAGATTTGGCCGTTTCAAATGCTACCTACATACCTATATCTTAAATCTCAATGCGACTAGTTAAAATGGTAAGATGTAACTTTTAAGAACAATATTAAGAGCAAGCAAGCAAAGAATAAGAATTAGTTATACATAGTCTCTATGTATAACTAATTCTTATGGGTATATTATTATATATTCTCTATTAGAGACATAAAAAATCTCTAGTTGGTATTTTTTATATTTAGTAGGTACCTTAAGTAGGCATAAAACATCAAAACAAACAGCAGTCTGGAATGGGATTTTCCAAGAACAATATAAACAAAATCTTAGAAAACGATTTTCGTATTCCAAACGTCATCAATGAACAATCACTGAATTTTAATCCCTTTTATCTTTTAGAAGAAGGATTCTCAAAAATCATTTTTGAACCTGAAGAGTGAAGAATTAATGCGAAATTTCATGCTTAAGCCCAGTACTAGTCTGCATCCACCTATGATTTATAGACACTAGCACTTTATTAAGATGGTAGAGTATCTATAGGTAAGTCAATCACAGTAAGATTTTTATTAAGAGTAGAAGAAAAAAAAATAAAGATTTTAACCAATACAATATTTTATGCTTAACCAATCACATTTAAATTATTTCTTGTCGTTAGTAGATATCTTAGGTTAAATAATTCTAAGCCTTACCGCAATAAAATAAATAATCAAAATGAAATTTACAGCAATAACTAAGTATCGAAGTGCCACCCGGTGTCCAGCGATCGGTCCTCAGGGCCCAATGGACGGACTCGTGGCTACCTTTTAGTTGTGAATATATTACCCGGATTACACACGACTCCAACTGTTGTAATTTTAAGGATAAACTCGAGAAATATCTGCATGTAAATGCGCCCAAGTGGTTTGTCAAAATATAGTGGCAAAACTGTATAACTCACTCGCTAAATGCTTCACAATATATTTTTATCTGTATTAGAAATTAAGAATATTATTAAAAATGTAAATAAAATCGATATTTTTTTCAATAATAATAAATAACAAATAAAAAAACCTTTTTTACCTTAGGTACATTCTACAAATACAATTTTTCTATAATCTACTCTATATCTCTATCGCTTTTTTATATGTAGAGTCTTAAGAAGTGGTCCCACACATAAATGAAAAAGTATAAAAAATACCATAAGTTTATTTGCAATACCTCATAGAAATGTTCCTCAAAACTATTAGTTTACAAAAAAAGACAATAGCATAATAATATTTTCTGGGTATATATACATATACATATTATGTATGCTATAGCATGATAACTAAATTAATAAATGTACCTCAAAACGCAAGGTATATGTCTATCTACATAAGGATAAAACTACAAAAAATAATTTTTATTTTCATTTTCTCGAACAAAGTTATTTATAAATTTTGCTAAATGATACATTTTGGTACCTATATTTTTGAAATAATTTAAATTTGAATTGATCCTAAAATTTTAAATAATCGTGAAAACGATAAATAATACTTAAAAGTTGTTATTATGTTTAAAATACAGCTATCATTTAGTAGTCACATTGACTGGTACAAAGGCTAAGACAAATAACAGGCTAAATCGCGATGTTGCAAAGCAAACTAAATGGGCGTACAGTAACTGACAAATTAATGAACATTAAATATTCAGGGGATGCTACGAGCCAAAATGGGATTGACACGGAGTTGTCGGGCGCAGCAATGGCTGGATACAAAAGGGTTAAACATTAATACTTAAGCGTCCCGCACCTCGCTTCTGACATCACCGATTAGTCTGTCACTGAGCTAAATCTCCAAGCTCTGAATAAAGTATTATGAAAAAGTATCTGCTCCTTATCTAGAAAGCCCCGTTTGTGACTGCCACCCGCAATGATGAGGGTTCGGCTTTATATTTTGCACTTGTTTCTTTCCCTGTCTCAGTATCTTTATGGTAAAGCTATCCATATAGAGGCCGACAGATGTCAGTACCATTCTCAGCGTTCTTATAATATTTATAATTAGGTAGTAATTAAATTAGATATATCTTGTCTTAGTCTAACAAATTAATCACTTTAGTTTTAATTTTACATTAAAAAAAGAAATACGTATGGTTTTAAAATTACTACAATGACGTAGGTATCCGTTATACTAACTTAACCACAAATAAATATCACTTAAGTAAAAAATGTACACGTTAGATACAGTGTTCCCTCGTCGAGTCGAAATCAAGAACGTTGATTTGGCACCATGATCCCATTCGCTATCACCTTATCAAAGTTTCAATTCAGTTATTTATTCATAAAACCCTTCTTACTTCGTCCCTATGGTTAAAGGAACTTTTCTGAGCCCCTTTCGAATTTGTATAACTTTTGGGTTGATATAGTTTTCACTACTAAAGGTTATACTTATGGATATAAATTTTAATTTATTGTTGATTTAGCTAAAATGATGATTAATTTTTGAAAGTAGAACATCGATAACCTTCCTATTCTTAATTATATACCTCCTATATATATTATATCTTTTCCTCTGAAATAATAATAAAAACCACTTCAACCAAAACATTTTTAAATGCCACAAACATAATAATTTAAAAAATATATCAAATGCGATCCAACACCCTGACGAATTTGCGTTGTCAACAAACACCCAGAATTTTTTTGTGGCCAGGACCAGCCGACCCTCGAGACACGCACGTCTGTTCCCGTTCTAATAAATCACTGAGACAGCTATCATTCTGAAGAATGTATTAGCCTTTATTATATTTGATGTGTCTTTTATGACGTGTTGTATAAGAATAAGAAGATTTTTTCTAAATATAACGAGTTATAGTATCACTTATAGTGCAGTAATGAATGAATGAATTTTTATTCTTTTATAGGATTATTAATTTATATTTTAATCTTGGATATATCTTGGAATAAATGCTTAAATAGATGATGAAGTAGATAATAATACTAATTTTGAAGGCACAAAATAGAACTTTCGAGGGTTAATTACATGACCTTCTAGGATAAAGGATTTCACACTCATCAATGACCGTAAAATGAAGGCCACACAAGCCAAATAGATCGATTGCGGTGACGTTTTTGTTAAAAGATGGCATCGTTAGATAGGAACTGCAGGGTGGTCCATCCTGTATAAATAATTACACTCAGACATCCAAAAATCGACAACTAAATTAAACCAGTATATTACGTTGAATGATCTCTATAACACTTCAAGTGTTATAGAGATCATTCAACGTAATCTCATTAAAAGTCGTGACAAAATACAACACATCCAGCCACAAATATGCGAGATTCCAGCACGCTCGTACATCTAAGCAATAAACACTCTCCTACACGTTTGGGTGTGACGTTGATATCATCACAGTTTTGGAGAATGAAGAGTGTTACTAAATATTATGCTGATTAGATGTATCACATTCATTTAAACAGAGTCCAGTTTATAAGAAATATGTTTAATAGTAATTTCGTATGTTGGTTCAAATATACTTATATAAATTGTACAAGTGTTAAAAGATTTGGAACTAGAGCAATAGCAACACATTGTCAGTCAAATGTGTGACAAGAATAGAGTTAGAAAAAACGATACGCGGCATCACGTCCCGCGGCGATGGTATCCCAGACGCGGTGCGCTCTACGCGTACATCTCACACGAAATAGGTCAATTAAGACGTGGGAGTGAGCGATACGTGACCGTAACGCCTGATCCCCGTAAACGATATGATGCGGTGTGATGTTTGACGCCTTTATTTATCTATATCTGTGGCTCATGACTAACTCTAAAGATAATCGGGTAATTTTTCCCAACACTTGAAAACACGAAAAATGCTACTTTTGTTCTGGCATACTAATCGTTAACACATTTTTTTATTATTTTATCATGTTGAAATAATTTTAAATGTAGGTATAAAATTAAGTAGAGCTATAGATACTGCTTTACAAGATTATTTAGTGGCAGATAACTGATGAAAGTCGAAAAGCGTCTAGTCCTTAGCTACTTGAGAGATTTCAAGTTATTGAAATGGCGTGTTACTAATTTATTGTTCGTTAATAAGTTTCTGTATTTTATAACTTTAAAAAATATTACAAAATATGTTCGAAAAAGCTAACCAATCCAATAAAGTATAGAAACTATACAATAGGCTGCGTGTACAAATTCCACGTGTCTATTCAACAACGTCGTTGGGGCGTGAGTACAATATCTCTTCACCCTACGGATGTAATAGAGAAATGCCTGACAACGTAAATGATTTCTTAAACGTTTTGTGACTACAAATAAATAGATATATGTATATACCCTACAAAGTACTCATGCTGATTAATAACAAATAAGTATACCTATATATAAGACGTTTCGTTAAATAAAAATATTAAGTTTGTGGAAAATGTTGAAGATAACGGTATCTATCGACTTAGTTGGGCAACATGACCAAAGCGTGAGACGGTGTGTCGAACTGAAAAGCATGCCTGCTTTGGTGACAGTTCCGCGGCCTCAGCGCCTAGGACGCAGAGGTCACTCAGGCGCCTTTTGCTATGGTGACCAGTCGTCACCATAAAACAATAGGTATGTTTCATATAAAATTATATAAACTTTACTACTATTAAAGTATTGACCATGTGAGCAAATACACTTTTAATTATGTTATACAATTATTATTTGTTATGTTTGTTTTTTGTTTCCTTTAAGTATGCTATTTAAGCAAATACGAAAGAGAAATTCCACCAGCATTTTCTATGACAATAACATGTAAAAGACCTGAGTTTTTGAAAATTTTTCGCAGCCATATAGCAAAATCAAATTTCGTCTTGTCCGTTTGTCGAGTATTTTACTCGAGGACTACTATGTAGTTGAAGTCAATTATAATAATACAAAATACACTCCATACATGTAACTTAGAGCTGAACAATAAATGTGAGTGCTCATAAGCTTATGGGAATTTAAACTCACTCACTTGTCCAATTTTATCATAATAAGAAGTAAAAAATAAAAGACGTATCTCTGTCAGTTACCTAGTAAGGCTACATACAAATAATTAAAGTTAATTTGAAACTTTGTGATACATCAATAGCAAAACAAGTTTCTGACTGGGTACACCGCCTCACTCTTACAGGGTATTGAGCTAACAGATGTTTGTCCCGTGGATTATCACCACCTTATAAATAATGCCTCTACTCTCAATCACGTTAAAGAAGGGAAGGACAAGTGACAAGCCTGGAGTCGCCTTTTCATATTATATTTTTATTATATTGTAAATGTATAATGAATTGAAATAACATAAAAAACTTTCTTTGTCACCCTACTTGATTCTGCGAGAAATAGAATTGTCCCTGGCCTAAGAGATCCGCTCGTGATCTACGATTGCCACGGCGCAGCAAGTCACGCACTTTTTATGAAATTTGGTGAGTTATGCCTTATTTAATACCACAAAAAAGAATAATAAATGCCAGATAACAGATGTACCCATTTGGCACGCACTATGGTCATGGACTAAAAACCATTGATAACGTTCACTGACTATTTATTTATTTTTTTGACAGTGGATCAACAATCAGAATTTTTCTCCATATAAATACAAAATAAAATCTATATTAATTTATCATAAGTATATAAAAATGTGTGATAAAATTATTTCAAAACTATATATAAGAGACGTAAATAGGAATGTAACTTGGTCACGGTCGACGAGCCGGTCAGATGGAGTCAGGTGTCAGGTGTTTTATATGTATCCTAATTAAGATTTATTTTATTTGTTTTTGTTATTGAACTAATAAAGCAGATGTAAGATTATGTAACATAATATCAGTTTGCATTATGTAGGTATATGTAACAATTTTTGGTATTACTTTTCATTACTACCTCTTATGTGTTTTTGTTCATTGTATAAAATTAAAGCCTATAAAAGATTTTCCAGTTCATGGAATCCTAAGTAATCTCTTTCCCCTTTTCCTATAAGGAGGTGTACAGTCAGACGGGCGCGACAGGCGAATCGGCACGTAGTTCCGGCGTTGCGGCGACGCGAGCGCAGGTGAGATGCTGCGGTTGCGCACCATCGCCCGCCTGCACCTGCTTACACGACGTATAATACTAGTCAATCACTGTAGCCGTTACCTATTAACGTAATAGCTGATCTAAGGAAATCTAATGGTCATGGTCGACTACAACGTTTACACCTGTATTTAACTACTACATAGCAAACTCATTGCAAGAAGTCTTCTATACATAATAATAATAAAATTCTAAGTCGAATCTGTACATAAAATATTTTTCGGAAAATCTGATTGAAATAGTCATTATTATAGATAAAGAGGCCGATACTATAGTTTTTAGGATTTTTGTCTGTCTGTCTGTGACGGCATCAGGAGAAAACCACTGGACAGATTTTTATGAAATTTGGTAGGTACGACGATAGCTGGTTATCCAGGTCAACATATACGATACTTTTTTTTAGATGAAATTTATTTCAGATGAAAGTATTAATGTTAGATTTATGTTTAGGGTATATGTTATTTAAAATAAATCAAAGTATCTTTAAAGTGCTGGAACCCCTAATTTTAATGACAATGAATTAACAGTTTCAATAAAATTAATTTTATCGTCTTATTAAATTATTTGCATAAAACATTGTTGTCTTAGAATCTTGGGTCTCGGACAGGAAGGCAAGCCCTCGGAGAGCGCACGTCCGGCACCACTTGAGTTGCGACTTAAATGGACTTCCGCCTTTTAACTACTGCCTGCGATATTTACAAAACGATACAAGAATCGTGAATTTGATTTTTAAATATTAGATATACGAGTCTAGGTGTGTTTAAATTACATAAAAATAGTTAATACGAGCTACCTTAGGAAATAGACATATGCTTTTTTTCCTTAGGCCTTTTTAAGACCTAAGTACAATTTTCTATTACATTGTTTTGATATACATATCCCGTAAGGTTTAGCCAGCGTTTGCAATGTTTTCTTAGGGCGACTCGACAGAATCAATTATTGTGTTTTCCCGTGGGAATTAAGGATTTTTCTATTGTAAAAGGTATCCTTAATGTTGACCCGAGTAATAAGTTAAGTGATATCTACACAAAATTCAATTAAAATACAGTAGGTACTTTTTGCGTGAAAAGTTAACAGATATACCTACAGATATACATACAAACAGACATACAAACAGCAGAGAAAAAAATCAATAGTAATTTTTTTGGGATCTATATTCTTTACACAACACGTAGCAGTCATTTTTTTAAGTACATTTTATACATATACAGTTTTGGTTTTGTCACTATATTATATGTACATTGTACACGTTTTCTTGATTATATTTCATTGTTTATTATCTTTTTAAAGACATATTTAGTGATATTATTTATTTTGAAGTTTCATATGAGTTAATAGTTTATTTTTAAAGAAACAACAAGTGTAGAATTACCTTAAAAGTAAGTACATATTTGCTCTACATTTATGAACTGTTTTTTTATTAACGTTAGATTAAGCCTATTCATTAAAACTATTAAAAAGTTTACAATAGGCAAAGTTATCAAGTAACATATACACAATACAAAATATTCACCCAAAATCAGTAAAAGGAAGACTTTTATGAAGTCTTAATTAGATTAATAATCGAAAATCATGTTATAAGTCTTCCAATCTTATGTGACATAACTACTGTTCAAAAGTAAACTAATTCGAAAACAAGGCGAGTTGTAGATATCTAGATAGACAATAATAATAACAATGAACGTAGGGCCCTAACAGCGAGCAGGAAATGCCGGGGAAGCCAAGACCGACCGCTTTACTATCACGCACAATAGCAATAACAAACAAAGGAGATGAGGCACTAATCTCAGAAACGGTTTTGTAAACATCGAATATTCTACAATGATTAAGTATTAAAGTACCTACATACATCCCAGTACTGTTTAATCTATACATATTACATATTATAATAAAATTCTAACTGAGCCGAATCTGTACATTAATTATTTTTTGGAAAATCTTATTGAAATATACATTATTATCAATACAGAGTCCGAATCTATAGTTTTTAGAATTTTTGTCTGTCTGTCTGTCTGTTATCGCATCACGGAAAAACCACTAGAGAGATTCTGATGAAATTTGGTGTGATGATAGCTAGTTATCCGGGTCAACATATGGGATGTTTTTACTGCGGGAAAATATCTCATCTCTGCGAAATTGATATTAAACGTTAAAACGTAAGTAGGGACTAACCCGAGCGAAGCGAGGGTGAGTAGCTAGTATAAAAATTTTACTGTTTGTATTAAAAGAACCATATTTTTCTATTCCCATAAAATAATAACAAAAAAGTATCTAAACCAGTAACCACTGCTGATTTAAACATAATTTATAAGTACGGTATACCAGATTATATTGATATTGTTATTAAACTCATTACAACCCCAAAAAAACTGTTGCGCAGTCGCCGATGAAGACATCACTTTATTTATCACCTGCTTAGCAATTGTTTGGCTCGATTCACCTGGCTTAAAGCGGTCACACTTCAGTTCTTGATTAGTTGTAATCGTCACCTAATCGTAACCTTGACGTTTATATTATAATTATGATCTTTGGAGTATACCGTATAACCATTTATTGTAGTGGGAATCCTTATAATTGGTTTACAATTTACGAAAGCGTCACGAATTTTCTCTTTTTTAAAGTCTATCAGACATACTCGCACGCTGGTTCGCTGCATGTTACAACCATAACCAGACACTCTCAAATGTCACCTGAAATCTATAAGCGCTAGGTAACTCAAATTTTCAAAAAAACAGGTAATGGTAGGTGACCTACGCCTTTTTTCGGATTTCTTTTTATTCGCATAATAATTAGCATTTGGTTTATCCTTTCCACAAGTTAAAATCATAGTTTTAATATTTAAATTTTGGAATTACATGTATAAAATAACTAGTTACGTATATGACCGTAATATTGAACTATTATGAAATCATAGAAAGACACTTTTTGATAGTAACGTATACCATCATCAGCATTACTAAATAGAATAACTTGAACGGTCGGGGATCTCCAACCTAATAGCGAACGCAATTTTTCTTACAATAAGAGAAATTTCGGGTAATAAAGGCTTGAATACAAATTTTCGACACACAAAAACGTGACGAGAGGCTTTGGCGGTGGCCGCAAAGTCATTACAATTATGTGTTCCCATAAAATCGAATTCAAATAGCTGTATCATTCGTTGTTTTGATGACATTTCGCAGATTTGATGCGCAACCGCAACGAAACTTTTACAAGCTTATTAAAGAAAATTTGGCTGATTATGGTTTCTAATATTTTTTTCGCCTTTATCCTCATATTAATTCATTCTATAATACCTAAGTGCTTTTATTAATATTTAAAATATTTAAGTTTGATTATTCATTTATTTCTATTAAGCCAAAAAAGTAATTTATAACTAATTAAACCGACTTCAAAAAAACAAATACTAAAAAGTAAACAAATACCTGAACGGGGGCTTTCATTTACTATAGATACCTAATGAGATATTTTCGAAGTCGTTGCTAGCACGGTAATAATATATGCATTACATTACCGTGGTGCTAGCCAACAATGCTTTAAGATATTAATATATAATAGCTAAATATGACAAGGTATGAACTCTAATTATAGTTAAAATAGTAGCATTTCCCGCGGCTCCGCCCGCGTTCAAATGACCGAAAACCAAATTGTTCCAGTCAATCAAATCCCTCCAGTGGTTTTTCTGTGATGCGGTAACAGACAGACGGACAGACAAAAATTCTAAAAACTATAGATTCGGACTCTGTATCGATAATAATGTTTATTTCAATAAGGTTTTCCAAAAAAATATTTAATATACAGAATCAGCTTAGGTACAATTTTATTATATGTATAGATTATACATTAATTTGTAATGTATTTAAACTATTTATTCATATCGAAATATTTGCTTTACATCGTAACTTAAGCTACGTTAATTTTAGAAAAATAATTATGTTTCCGCTCAAAAAAAATTAAAACGTACCTACCTAGGGACGAAGTGAGGATAAGTCGTTTGTTATTTATAATATCCATACTAATATTATAAATGTGAAAGTGTGTTTGTTTGTCTTTCTTTCACGTCGAAACTGCTTGGCGGATTGGCGTGATTTTTTGTGTGGAGATAGTTGGAGGGCTAGAGAGTGACATAGGCAGACATACTTTTTGCCGCGTGAGATTATCTCTTTCCCACGGGAAACACGTGTGTATAATACAATCTAAAAAAATATTTATGATCAGAATTACTTGAAACTTGGTATTAATGCTCTTCAATACAATTAATTAAATACGTGTTTTAGCATTTTTCGAATTTCATCCCATAAGGGGGTAAAATAGCGGATGAATATTTGTATGAAACCTACCATTTTAGAGTTTTTTTTGTAGTTTAGTGCGAGCGAAGCCGCGGTTTCTGCTACTAAATAATAAGTAGGTAGATATTTATACATATTACCACGCAACTCAAAAATACCTGTAATAAAATATTTCTGTAATAGTTTTATTTTTAGCTAAATTTTCAGAAATTACGATTTTTCCCACTTAATACAAAAATATCATTCATTATACCAGTAATTTATTTCCACAATATATTTATAAATCATAACCATTATATTATATAATAAATTATAACCTTTCTAGAGAAACTCTCTTCCTATAAATGAAAACCGTACGAAAATCCGTACAGTTGTTTCTGAGATTAGTCCGAACAAACACATTCAGTGCGGCAGCGAACTTTAATTTATAATATTCGACACTCGTATGTCATGAAATCGAGGTTCACGCACTCGCTTCGCCCAATTGCATTAAACGTTTTTCTCAGTAAGTAACTAGTAACTACACTGTAGTAAAAATAATCCTATGAGAGCCCCGTTCCGAGATCAAAAATGGCCTATGTCACTTTCCTGCTCATAAACTATTCATATGCCGTATATATTATTATATATATTATATATTAACTGCCTCGGTGGTGTAGCGGCTAGCATGTACGGCTGCACACCTGGAGGTCCTGGGTTCGAGTCCCGGGTCGGGCCAAGTTTAGTTAT